TCTTCACTTTCATTCTGTAATTGTCGAAGTGTCTTTACTGAGCACTCAGTGTATTTTGTTCTTTTCCTAGTTTCCAAAAAAATTGCTTCTTTCCACTTGATAAATAAGACTTCCGTATTAGTTACGGAAGTTGCTGTATTAATTACATCTTTTTGTTGCTGTTATTTAAAAAAATATCATGGCCAAAAAAAACAGCTTAAGTTAGAGTTTATTTTGGCTTACAGCTCCAGAGGGCTAGAGTCCATAACGGCAGGGAGGCTTGGCGTAGCAGTGAGAGCAGACATGGCTGGTCACATTTTATAAGCACACAGGAATGAGAGAGGGAGAGGGGGAGGGAGAGGGAAGGGACAGGGAGAGGGGGAGGGGAAGGGGGAGGGGGAGAAGGAGGGGGGAGAGAGAGAAAGAGAGAGAGAGCGCGCCTGAAAGTTTGCTTTCAGGACAAGTTTCCTCCAGAAAGCTTCCACCTTATAAAGGTTCCAAACCCTTCTGAGTGTTTAAATATGTGAGTCTATGGAGGTATTTATCATTCATACCACCACGGGTTCATTGCACATTCTATATGCCACTTATCTCAATCTGTTTCCTGTTACTGTAACAGAATATTCAGGATAGGGTACTTTATAAAACAGTTAACCCATGGTTCTGGTGCCTGGAAAATCCTAGATCAAGGCACCAGCTCCTGGAGAGGGCCATCACGCTGTTCCATTCCATGATAGAATGAAGAACGGCAAGCCAACAAGAGGCCAATTTGCTATTATCAGCGACTCACTCCTCAAGAACTAACTTACTTCATAGCAACTAACTTATCCTGTAATAATTAACCATTCTGTAATAACCCATGCTCTGTCATAATTGACTCATACCCTATAAGTAAACCCCACACCTTACAATTAACTCACCCTTGCAATAACTAGCCCATCTGAAATAACTAACCCATGCTGAAGTTTCCTTTCTTGTGAAACTCAGTTTTTGGTTTTGGATTTTTTTTTTAGGTCTTTAATTCACTTAGGAATTTACTTTTTTATAATTGAGCACGCCTCTCATTTATTCTTCACTATTATATGCCTAGGTGTGCATCTGCATATAAATGTCATTTGTGACCTTATCACCATTATTAAAAAAAAACTTTTCTAAGCTGTGCATAGCACCATTTTCCATGTCCATGCCGTACTTCTTGCTAATGAAATCCCATATTATCCACTTTCCAAGGTTCTTAGACTCCTGGCACATCCCTGCATAGGTAAGACTATCTCATTCTTCAAGGTGCTCTGCCTGCATGGCCTGGTACTGAGCAGACTTTGAGCTGCTGTGGGACAATTCAACCCCCCCCATGGGTGCATCTGCAGCTACTTAAGTCACTGCTACATTTTGTATTTTCTTGGTACTCGCTTGAAAACTATCAAGGACCTGATGTGCTGACTTCCTAAGCAGCCTAACCTAAGTTTCTTTTTAATAATCTCATCAGTTAGGTCACACTGGCTGGCTACGAAGCCCCAGAGACCCTGTTTGCTCCTTTCCAGTGGGATTACAAATGTGCACTGCCATGTCAAGTGTTTCTACATGGATTGTGAGGACCAAATTAAGGCTCTCACGCTTGCAGGGCAAGTGCGTTACTGACTTTGCCATCCCTCCATTCCTTTGCTTAATGGATTTGGATGTCATTTTGTATTTATAATAACAGAAAAATGAAAAGGCACAATTTATTCTCTAGTGATGACATTCATGAAAAAATTGCCTAAGGCCTGATTTTTTTTAAAAGAGTATTTCAGGCAGGGCAATGGTGTCACACACCCTGAATCCCAGCACTCAGGAGGCAGAGGCAGGTGGATCTCTGAGTTCAAGATCAACCTGGCCTATATGAGTTCTAGAAGGCTACACAGAAAAACTCTGTCATGAAAAACTAAAATAATTAATATAACAAAATGTAAGTCTCTGCAAATTTATTATTTTTTATGTGTATGGGTGTTGTGCTTGCATGCATGTCTGTGTACCACAAAGGCCAAAGAGAGTATTGAATCCTTAGGACTGGACTTATAAACAGCTACACACTTCCATGTGGGTGCAGGGTATTGAACCCAGGTCCTCTCGAAGAGCAGCCAGTGCTCTTAAGCAGCCAGCCATCTCTCCAGCCCTAAAAATTTCACGCAATGTATTTTGATTATATTCACCCCAGCTCCACACTTAACTTCCCTTCCCACCCAACTTCATGTTCTGTTCCTCTTCCTCTACCCTGCTCTTTTAAAAACCTATTGAATTTGTGTTGCCCAGCTACTCTCGGGAGTGGGTCCTGGTATTGCAGACATATATCACCACACCCAGCTTTAGAATTTTTATACATCACTGTTCACAAGATTAAACACAGAGTGTATTCATGATGTATATTAAAGGACAACTGAGATGTGTTTGTTTCCTTTTCACTACACTGAAAAAAAAATCAGAATCATACCTGTTCGTATTTTTTCACCTACCTTTTCCTCCTACCTAAAAACGAACTTCTCTGCTACTGTTTCCAAAAGCCTTGGGTTAGGTAAAGTGATGGAAAAAGGAAGCAGAAATATGAGGAAAAAGCAAGGGTCCCAAAGCATCAGAAAAGGAGAAGAAAGCCAGCCTGATTAGGCTGGAAAGGCAGAGGAGTCTATTGGACCCACAAGGAGATATCCATGTCCTGTCCTTGCTAAAATACCAAGTTGGTTGGATACATGGATCTTTTAGGAAGTGGATTTAGACCCTGAGCATGTCAGAACAGCTATGTTTGACTGAGGCACCAAAGCCTTCTCCAACTTTCCAGTTATCCCACTGTTCTTGGAGGTCTTGGTCATAAGGGCCTGGCTTCAGGTCTTGCTGCGAGATTAACATGGGCAAGGCCTTGAGTTTGACCCCTAACATTTGCCAAAAGACAAAAGTTAATGTCATGGGGTTATGCAGCCTTTTTATTGAAGTACCTATGACATTTTAATGTCTAAATAAAAAATTGTATTACTTGTTTCCTCTAGAAAATAAACTAGACAGTGAAATTATAATATTTTTTTAAATAAAGCAAATATACTGTGGACCTTTCTTTTCCCCTTTATACTCCCAAGCTACATTATATATACCTTAGTATATACACAGACTTACCCCAATTTACCCTTTTAAAATACTGTGGTCTTCAGTAATTTCACACATCTATTTACTGTATTTTTGTCATTTTTACCCCTGCCATCCTCTCTCAAACTCCCCCTGCTTTCTCTGGAACTCTTCTTCCCAGCACACCCTCCTCTGTTCATGTCTCTTCCCCCCAACACACAGGGTTTAATTAGGGTTGCATACATGTGCACGTGGTTACATACCAGATCACGGTCAATTAGCAGAGTAGCTGTATCTCTGAAGAAAAATGACTGCTCCTCCAGCATCCATTAACTGACAACAGCTCCTCTAGTGTCCCTTCCCTATCCATGTTAGGATGTTGAGGGACTCAATCTTGTACTTGGCCACAGCTGCTACGGTTCATGGTGTAACAGCTATGTCCTTGTCCAGAAGACAGAGTTTCACAACACCCCTCCCCATTCTCCAGCCCTTGCATTCTTTGTTTGTTCTTCCATGGTGTCACTTGATTCGTGTGTGTGTGTGTGTGTGTGTGTGTGTTTGTGTGTGTGTGTGTGTGTGTGTGTGTGTTACAGAAGGTCCATTTAGGATTGAGCATTCAACAATCAATTGTCCTCCACAGTTGGACCAGTTATAAGTCTCTGCATTAACTACTGCTCACTGCAAATATGGAAGCGTCTCTAGCCCACGTTGAGAGTAGTCCTAATCTGTGCATATAAACATAAATACTTAAAAGACAGTGTGATAACACATCCACTTTACAAAACACAGTAGGTTTTCTCTTGGAGCCTAAGACCTCTCTGGCCATGGGCTTCTTGACCAGGTTTACAGCAAGATGTAGAAGAGGCTTCGAATCCAACCATAAAGTGGTTGCTTACCACCATAACATTCATGCCACTATTGTATTAGAGGCATATCTTGCCTGGCAGATCAACTTTGTGTCAGCAGGGTCCACGATGATGTAGAAACAACTCTACTGACTCAAGCCTAGGCCTATTAAATATGACATGACTGAAATATATTTAAACTGTGAAAAAGAAGACCCTAGCCATATCAGCAGTTTAACCTGCACACAGAGACAACTTACATCCCCTGTTCTAGTCCAACTAACTTGGAAGAGCTAACATCTGAAATCAGACACAGCGATGGACACATATAATCCTAACACTTGGGAGGCTGATGCAGGATCAAAAATTTGAGGCCAACTAGGGCTTACAGAGATCCTGTCTCAAAAAGCAACAATAATAAAACAAATATATACATTTGCTAATTTTTGTTTTGGTATCAAAGTGTGCTTTGATATTTAAGCTGACAGAGAAGTAGTAGTATATTCCACACTTTTCTAACTACAGGGCTGAGTGAGGCTGGCTTTCTTATTTTTCAAACATAAATTACAATAGATCAAATGTAGACTCCAATTATCTCCAATTGAGTGGGTCATTTAAGACATCTGAAAAACATAAAAACAATGCTATTTTCTCATTAATTTTTTTGGAAAATAAAGTTATTTTATTATATTAATATGCAGAGGTTTTTGGGGGTGGGTGGGAGTTGAGACAAGGTCATCCTATATAGCCCAGGCAGTCTGGGAATCATAATATTCTTGATTTTGCCTTTTTGACTACTGGTATTATCCAAGTATATTCCACCTTGTCCACCAACAGATTATTTTTTAATGAATAATGTTTTGAAATTATTTAGTTTTGGGGGGCTGGAGAAATGGCTCAGAGGTTAAGAGCACTGGCTGCTCTTCCAGAGGTCCTGAGTTCAATTCCCAGCAACCACATGGTGGTTCACAACCATCTGTAATGAGATCTGGTGCCCTGCAGGCACATATGCAGGCAGAGCACTGCATACATGATAAATAAATAAATCTAAGAGAAACAAAACAACAACAACAAAAAACAAACACCTAAAAAAGTTATTTAGTTTTCATTTCAAATTTTTCAACATTAATAAACATAACCCACATAAGTATTTTGGGGACCTCTGATCTAAGAGCTCTTAGGAGTGTGAGATCTTTGGTCACAGCCTCTGTAGCAGGCACACCTCTTCCCACAGGACTTCTGGGCTCTCTGACGTGGTCCAGAACCCTTGTTTCCATCCATCTAAACATATATAGTCACAATCCACCGAGAGGAAATTAAAATGTCAGAAATCTCAGAGTGATTGTCAAGAGGGAAAGTGTGATATTTAAGTACTTAAAGTGGCCCTTTATTAATCTACTACTTAATTTCAATCAAAGTAAAGTTAAGTTGCGCACTAATTTCATAGGCTTCACATCTTTCCCTCACCCCCTCAGAATGATCTTGAATGGAGGCAGTTCCAATGTTCAAATCCACGGTACCAACAGTGACTGTAAAGTACATCAGCTCCAAGTATCCGTCTCCGCCTAAGCCCTCGTGTGGCGAGTGTGGCTTGTGGCAGTGAATACTGCGCAAAGGGCAGCCGTGATGAGCAGATGCATTCCTTCATAGAGAAGCTTTGGAGAAAAGACACTCCATATGAACAGGTGATAGCGCAGAGATGTCACCATAACGATGTATGTGGCCACTGGAACGGAACCAATCAGCGCATAGCAGAAGCAAGCACGGCTCAGTGCTGAACCACTATTAACAAAATAGAGAACACATGTCAGAGTGGCCCAAGAACACTTCAGATTTCTACTTGGAAAATAACAACGAACACTCTTGCTTCTGGACTAGAACATACCGCAATCTCTCTTCTGTGTCCTCACTGGGTCACTAGACACAGTGATAACTGCCCTACGGGAGTACAGGAAGGGTAAAACGGGGCTGGTGAGATGGCTCAGTGGGTAGAACGGAACTTGCTGCTAAGCCTGACAATCTGAGTTCAATCCCTAAGACCCACACAGCAGAAAAAGAAACTAGTTCGGTCCCATGCAGGCCCCCCTGCTGTCAGTCCAGAGTCTGGGAGCTCCCACTAGCTTGGGTCAGCTGTCTCTGTGGGATCCCCAGCATAGTCTTGACCCCTTCTTTGCTCATATTAATCGCCCCTCCCTCTCTTCAGCTGGACTCCAGGAGCTGGGCCCAGTGCTTGGCTGTGGATCCCTACCAGATGAAGGAGGACACGCTCTTCTAATCACAAACAGGAAGAGGGAATGGGGACTTGAAAGCCTCAACTTCACCTCTAAGTCTGGGAATACAGGACATGAAAAGACTGGGACCTCCAATCACAGTAAGATAGAAGAGGTTCTGGCTGACAGAGCTGTGCCCGTCCAGTATGTGAGAGGCAGGTCCAGTGTCACAGAGAGAGGCTAGCTCTCCATGATTTAGGCACATTAAGAAGTAAACTGGCACAGCTGGGTCCAAGAATGTACAGCTACCAGCAGTGGCTGTGAGCCTCTGGACCACTCTGAGCTTCTCGTGAAGCCTTCTTTAAGAGAGGCACAACATAACTAGAAGCAAAAATGAAATAGGAGGAAGCTGTAGAGAAAATAGGCATGGACAGGATGGACATGTTGAGCAAGCCTGAAGATGGATGGATGGATGGATGGATGTGTGGATGGATGGATGGATGGGTGGATGGGTGGGTGGGTGGGTGGGTGGATGGATGGATGGGTGGGTGGGTGGATGGATGGATGGATGGATGGATGGGTGGATGGATGGATGGGTGGATGGATGGGTGGATGGGTGGATGGATGGGTGGATGGGTGGATGGATGTGTGGATGGATGGATACATCCTGACAGTGGCAACCTCAAGCAAGCGGTATCCTGGGAAGCGCCTCCATGCTGCTGGAGGGTAAAAGAGCCTAGACAGGCTCAGGCAGATGGTGACTGCCTTACTCAGAACCTGTACACCAGCAACTCCTCCTAGCATATTCTTCCTGGATCGCCAAAAGCTTTTTGGGGGGCAAGAGGCCATGCCATGCCTTTTGTTTCCTTGCCCTCAGAATGGAAGAACCAGTAGGAAAACATTAAGCGGCTCAGAGCCGAGCATGGAGTTTCCCAGTCCCTACTCCCATTTCCCGACTGATTAGAAGAGTGTCTCTTGACATGGGACATCGCCTTCTGCAGACCTCAGTGATCTCCAGACTGCACATTTCCTGCCTTTTTGTCAGTGGCATCTGGCTTTGCTCCTCATCGGGTTTTGCTACAGTGCTTTTTTTATGGGTTTTTTTCTCCTTGTGTGGTTTGAACTGAAAAACTGAATTTGATCAATAGAGTCCCTCAGACTTGACTGAGCTACATTTTTTTTTTTTTTTTGGTTTTTTCAAGACAGGGTTTCTCTGTGGTTTTGGAGGCTGTCCTGGAACTCACTTGGTAGTCCAGGCTGGTCTCGAACTCACAGAGATCCGCCTGCCTCTGCCTCCCGAGTGCTGGGATTAAAGGCATGCGCCACCAACGCCCGGTTCATGAGCTACATTTCTTATTTAAGGAAAAGAAAATCAATAAAGACATTCTCTAACATTTGGAGTTCAGACGCCTTGAATATAAAATAATGTTATTATTCCTAAAAACCAATAATCTGCAGTCACATTTGTTCTGAAGGACAAAGTAAGTGCCTTACTTGTTTGCTTCTGAGCTCAGGAAGTGCACAAGGTGACTGGCCCAGAGCACAGGCCCGACATAGGTTCCAAACACAGTGAGGAAAGTGGCTGGAACTTCCATGTAGGTATCTAAGCCCACAAAGCCTGCTGAAATGTCAATGGTGGCAATGTTGTTTGAGTTGCCCTGGAACAGAAGAACAGTGAGCATGGATACATGATCAGAGGAGTTAGAGGCACTGGTCACAGCACTCATCTGCTGCTCCTTAGGCCACCAGGCTGGCTCTGGATGGGTCATATTTCTCCAGACCCAGGAGGTGGCAGAAAAGTACCTACATAGAATGACTCTTTAGAAGAATTCTGCATACTTCAATCTTCTGACTGACCACAGGCATCTCACTCCTTCCTGCAGACATATCACCTGCTCTCAAGACAAGTGCATGGATTTTTCTTTCCTTGAGGACAGTGCATATGGTCCTCAGAAGCCCAGAAAACACATCTAGACACTGCCATGCTGGTGACTGCTCACTGAGTACCCACTTTTCTACTGAAGCCAGGTTAGCCACAGCCCAGCCCTGCTGAAATGCAACATGGGACATGGGGATTCATGACACACAGTATACAGTTTGGTGACTACCTACATTCTACTAATTATATCCATGTGCCCAAACTAGCCACAGGTCTTGAGTCTATTACGGGCGAGCTCTGCTGGTCCATGGGGAAAACCAGGGTAGAAAGAGTCAGGAGGGCCAGATCACCACAGCAAACAGCCCAGGGCTGGTCTTGGTCTGATCACAGTACTTAAGGTATTATAGATTCCTATAATTTAATCCAACTGCTGTTGGCCTTTGGGAACAAAAGGACAAAAGGCAAGCCATACAACCTAGAGTTGATTCATGGGTAAGGCTGGGGACATACGAAACCAAGAACAAAACAGAAACACAGGGAAGAGATAGACTGACCTATCAGAACAAGATAAAGAAGAGAGCCCAGTGCACAAAGAAGAGATAAAGTGGAATTGTGAAGGAAACTACAGTGATAGATACTCTCCTTGGGTTGCTAGGAGAAACCAGATTCTTCTAAGGTCCATTATCTGCTCAGCTATTCTTCTACACAACAAAACTGAGGCAGGCTTGGATTTCTGATGATGGATTTTTGAATACAAGAAGTCCTATGATCCTCCAGGCCTTAGAGGACTACTAGCTGTGGGTACACCCAATGGTTCCCAGTGTGAACAGCCTTGACACCAAGAACAAAGGCACATGAAGTATAATTACTACAATCCCAAAACAAAACACATGAAAGACTTAATGTGTTTCCTTTACTGTTTGTAATAAATCAATTCCTATCCAATCCTTCCTGCAAAGCAACAACCCATTGTCTTATGGATATACAGATGCATCCACATAGAGCATGTCTTTTTAAATTTTTTAAGACAGAGTCTCACTGTATACTACTGGTTGACCTATAACTCACAGAGATCCGCCAGCCGTTGCCTCCCCAGTGCTAGAATTAAAGGAATATACCACTATACCTGGTCAAGGATGCCTTTTTTTAAAATGACAAACTGTACTTTAGTAAAATCCATATAAGATTTAAGTATAATTTTCCATATATTTTCAGTTTTTTCACTGAACACATCTAACTTTCCATCTTACAACATTTTTGGAAAGAAAAACTAAAAGATACATGACATAAGAAAGTTACCAGCCTTCTACCCATTGATAATAATGAAAACCTACCTGAAAATAGAAGAATGCTTGACCAAACCAATAATGCATTACAGTGATCTCGGCTGCATCGCTTCTCAGGGGCTTCCAGATGAACTTACTCATTATAGTCTGAATCAAGAGACTAAATGCTAACACTGGAAGATTATGTGGTCGCAAAAGCAAAGCTGCCAGAAGGACTAATCCACTATGTATCTCCCACAAACCTATCGTCTTGGTTCTGTAGTCTGTTGCAATGACTTGTGCTTTAAGTAAATCTTTGGTACCCGTGAACAGAATGCCAAGGACAAATACATAAACAAAACGAGCTTCAATAATACCCCTAAAAAAAAGCAAAACATGTTAGATTCATTTGTACCATCTAGAAAAATTCAAGTACATATTTTTCCATTTAAAACATGTATCTAATTAGAGAATGCCTAAATGTGACAGTATAGGTAAACAGCTGTGCCTAATTAAAAAAAAAGAGAGAGAGAGATGTTTACTTCTACACGTGCTTCTAAGGAGCAGCCACTAAGGTCAACAGGCATATGCTGGAATGTACTGCCCTGATGAAGCTGACTTTGAGGAAAATTTGCTTATATGGTCCAAGGATCACCTGATAGCAAGACGAGAGAGAGCTATGCCCTTGTAACGTGTCAAGAGAATCACCAATCCACTTTGTACAGTTAAATGAAAAAAAAACACAGTGCTAGTTAAAGACCTGAGTACCTGAAATTTCCTAAGTTCAAAATGTTAACTGCAATTCAGCACGTTCAATTGCAATTAAATGGATTTAAAAAGAACTTGCATGCTGACATGTACAAAATGGATAATGATGGCACGCAGTGTCCCAAACTGTTTGGTCTGGGCTCTGTGGCTCACTAGTTCTGTTGTTTGGACAGTTAACACTCTGACAACTTCATTATTCATGAAAGCAGAAAGTATTTCCTACATATCACATGGTTATCCTAGGAATTACATATGTGTAAAAAAAGTAGACATGGAGTATTTGGCACACAGTAGATGCTTAGTAATATTAAGTACTGTTATAGACTAAATTTAATCTTTTTAATTATATATTCCTGAAACATAATATTTAAATATATTTTATAAATGATGTAGTTGTATACTTTAGGATTGCCACTTAATGTTGGAGTGTGTGGTGCATACTTTTAATTTCAGCACTCAGGAGGTAAAGGCAAAGACAGGCAGTCTGTGAGTTTGAGGCTGGTCTGGTCTACATAGTGAGTTCCAGACCCAGGTTACATATTGAGATCCTGTTTAAAACAAACAAAACAAAACAAAATCCAAAAACAAAAGACCCAGGTTTGATTTCCCAACACCCACATAGTGATTCACAACTGTCTGCAGAGAATCCAATGCCCTCTTCACATACGTGGTACATAGACACACATGCAGATAGAACACCAAAGCACATAAAAACTAATTAATTAATTAAAAGAAAAGATGGCCACTTAAAATAAATAAATTTTAAATGAAACTGCAACACAGCAGTATCTTTTAAAAGATGAATTTCCTGTATCACAGTCTTTTAACATTTTATGCATTAAAAACATTCTCTTATATTATGATTAATTTAATTCAGTGCTGACACTGTGTTACATGTGGGGCAGTGTGGCGCTGGCTGAGGAGCTGGGTCAAATACCTAGCATACCCCTGACCATATGTGTCTGAATATAAAGTCTAAAGACAGGTCCATGTGGGTTCCAATAAAGCAGAATACAGCAGATGTCAACGCCATCAAACTGCTTCAGAGAATCCCTGGCCCAGTAGACATGCTAGGCACTAGACAGGAAAGAACAGTAGACAGAGCATCCAGATAGGCTCCCAGACCCAACCACTCAGTGCTTCTCATTGCTAGGGCTTTAAACCGACTTTAACCCTGCACAAGGTTGGGCCTCTGAGTGGAGAGGAAAGGAAGTTTCCAGGCAAAGGGTCTTAGATACTTGATGACTACAGAGTCACAGTAGATGCAGAACCAGATAGGTCAGGATCTAGGATGAATTCAAGACTTCAGCACTTTAGGAACCAGGTGGATCTGAAACCAGTGCATTTTTAATATCCAGATACAGGGTAAGGGATGGACGCATTCTGTAGGAAGAAGGAGCAAGCTTGGAGGAAAGGCACACTGGCTATCTTCTAGTCATCAAAAGGACAGCTGCTTATAAGCAGAGAAGAAAGTAAGGGGATCATAGTCTTGAGAAGAATAATGCAGAAATCAAGTGTACAGATCTGGTGGAAACAAGAAATGCATTCACACGCTGCACTTGGAGATTAAACAAAAACCTCACATGTAATATACAACCATTTGCCCAAAGTTCCAGACTCCAAAGCCAAGAAAAGGCTGTGTCTCTACAAAATGCTCCCAGTCTCAATCGCCATCTTCTTCATGTCCCCTGTGGCTTAATTGCCTCAGTTGAAAACCATCTGTCACCCCACACCCATCAGCACATGGCTCTCAGTACTTGTTAGTTCTAGATATGGTTAAGGAAACTTGATCACACACAGAACACGTCTGGTAAGCTGGCATCGTGCAAGGGTTTGCCTATTGCTTCTCAATACCCTTCTGTGTTCTATGAAAACTTACTGTCTCACAGTTAAAAGATCCTACCACAGAGCTGGACAATTGCCACTGCTGCTGAACAATTTTTTTTCAACTACAAATGATGTTTCAAAGGACATGAGGGTGTCTTATTTTTGACAGCCCCTCTGATTGTATTCTTGAAGGAACTTTTGAGAATAGACACAACTGTACAAGATGGTAGCCACACTCTGCAGCCCTGTCCAGCTACCCCAGCAGCTCTATCACAAATACCAGATTCATAGTTGAGTCTTTGGCTTGCACAACAGGAACTCTTGGACCTTACAAGGGTAACACAGGGAAGCTGGCTTCTTCTCCCAACTGCTGGGAGTGTCCAGACTAATCTTCAGTATTAGAAGGATTGGCAAGGCATTTTTTAGTACAGAGAACACTAAACATATAAAAGCAAACTTGGTGTCACCAGTTCACTTACTTCGAAATGACTTTGTTGTCTGGTTGCCATGGGAACAGCACAATCCCAATGGCTGCCCTGTAGCAGAAGACACCCAGCAGCCCCAGCGCTAAGGCTGCCTTGGATACAGGGGAGCACCCCTTTTGAACCAACATGAAGATCACAATCAGAGAAAGGGCAGCCAGGCCTGACAGTTGTACTTTGTGGTCAGAGCTGAAATAAGATAGAAAATGCCCAAATTACTGCAATGGAACTGGTGACTTACAATTATATTAAAGAGTTTTTAAATAATTATATTACAATCAGACAATTTTTCTAGAATAAAAAAAAAGTTCTTAAGGTATCCCAAAGACTGCCATGCTGCATGCTGAGGTCTCGCTTCTTGCTCCTACGGCAGTGTCAGAAGCGGGTACCAGGTACAAACAGTTCTGTCCTCCCCTGGCTCCACTGCTCTCTCACACAGCCCACTCTCTGGGCTCTGGGCTCTGACAGGTGGCTGTCCTGCTGAGCAGTGCTGTGTGTGAAGAGCTCTGGGCAAGGTGGGTGCCCTTGTATTACTTACACAGTCCATGCTCATGCAGCTCAGATAGTTAACGCTGTTAGATACATGTGTGGGAAAGAGATGCATAGAAATGGTGAGGACTTCAGAAAATGCGAATGAAACTGGGCATGGTGATATACATCTGTAATCTCAACAAATAAGAGTCTTAGATATAAGACCACAAGTCTGAGGTCAGTCTAGGGTACAGAGCAAGACCTTGTGTCAGAACAAATACACAGAGAGAGAAGGAGAAGGAGAGAGAGAAAAAAAAAAACACAAAGGAAAACAAAACACAAACCAGAAAAGGGCAGGAGACAATTGCGGCTGTCAGAATGGGAAGAGATGATTTGAAACTATAGGTCTCATCCTGGAGGTCTCACCCCAGAGGTCTCTGCTGTGCTTCACAATGCACACCCTAGGCACCCTCTGGACTGCTGTATATGACACAGAGAAGTGGTATTTACCTGAAACTGCTTTGGAGTGGGCAGCTAATGGGACTTGAAAAATGGCTCTTTACAACTTGAATGACCCAGCAATTTAAGAAAAAAAAAGATCTAGGTGCAGGAAGCAGTACTAAGAAGGCATGCAGGATACAAATGCACCAAATGCTTCAATTTCAGAGAAAAAAACACGTGTCCGTACCTGCAGCTAACAGTCAGTCACGTCATAGACCTGGGCTAAGGTGGTACGGCCTATCACAAGACCCTGTCCTCTCTGTTTCCTGAACTCCCATGAGGACACAGTGCTGTTTCTCATGGTTGTTGTGCAGGCACCCGGCAGGTATTACAAAGACGCCAGCTGTAACTGTGGGACTATGAAAGCTTGACAGCTTAGTTAGTATTCAGGGGGATTCTCCATGGGAGTCTCTGGGTTAGAGAAAGCAGCCTTTGATGTCCCCATCCAGGCTGACGGTGCACTTGTAAGGTCTTGGGGATACCATTGGCTTTTGTTTCCCCACCACACAGACTTAAAACCGTGCCACAGCATCACCCTGGAACTTCCCAAGCACTAGTAAGAGTACCTCTTACCCTCTGCATTGCCATTTTACAGTTCTGCAACCGCCTGTTCCTCTGGACACTCTCATTTTGCTGTTCTTTTACTTTAGCTCGAGTCTTTGCTGTCAGACAACTAAACATTAAAACAGTCTGGTCTTGACTTTGTCAGACTCAGTTTCCTCCAGTTACATCAAGACTCTTCTTAAAACCCTCCATCCACATCTCTTCCTGGCTCTGCAGGCTCAGTAGAAGGCTCGGGAGATGTAGAGAGATGGGCTATATACTTTGCCTTCTGAGGGTGAAGAGAGGGAAGGCGAAAGTGCTCCAGAGGTCAGAGCCTTTTGCCTCCTGACCTTGTTCCCTTGTCCGTGGGCAGCAGTGTAGAATGAGCCACCAAGGACTCTACCCCAGAATTACATATCTATCACAATGATCATTTAAAAACTCACAGCATTGATAAATCAAATCTATTAAGCTAGCCTCTTTTCAACTTCATGGGGTATATTTTCTATTCAGATCTCAAGTATTACCTTAGCTTAATAGATATTTTTAAAGGACAAACTGTAGAGAAAGAAGACTATGTGTGACTGCTGAGCCGCCAAGGGTTTCAGTCCATAGGTCATGCTCACCTGGTGAGCCAGTGGCTGAAGTCAGGCCTGTGGGCTCCCTGCACCCCGGTCTGGTTCAAGGACCTCAGCAGCCGGCAGCAGATCAGCACCAGCCATGGACTAGCCAGCACTGCCCACCATTTGCAGCTTCCTTGTGCTTCAGGAAGGGAGACCGTTTTACCAGTCCTGCCAGGCTCAGGGGTATTATAGCTTGCACTGTCCTGCCAGGTGCCGGGAAGCATGTCCACACATCCTTGTTTCACGTGGAAGCGATGCTGAGGCTCACACTCATCTCCCACAAAGCAACTCCTACAGGTTTCCTGGCTCAGCACCAGACACAGGGTGCTAACAAGGAAGTACCAGGTCTGGTGCTCTTCCTCCACAAAGCTGCTGGCTCCCAGGCTCAGAACATGGCCCACTGTGCCCAGAAGAAGGAGGAGGCCCACCTCTGACCACCCTGAGCCGGGATGAGCTGCTCTCTGTCAAAAGGAAAAAAACAGTTTCTGAAGGATAACCTGACAATTACACCCAACACCCTGCTCTTACCGGAGTCCCCTGTTCACAGTGAAAAGGCCTTGCTGTCCTCCACCCTAATCCAAACTGCCCGCTGTGGAGGGGACCTCTGCACCGGAAGCACTGGCCCCTCTTCCTGCAGCAGAGCCTAGAGGAGGTCAAGATGTTCTCATGCTAACCATGAGGACATGGACATACCTCACCCCAGACTTTAAGCCCCAAGCTCAGTGTCAGAGACTGAAAGTGGCCCTCAATACAGTGATTGAGCACAAAAAACTGCCCAGAATACACTGGCCTAGCTGTCACGTTCCCTGCATGACATCGGTCTCCACAGAACTACACAGTTCCCACTATAACAGCTACTTCTGCTGACAAAGAGATGGCAACAGAATAGTACCTCTCCAATTATGCTATGAGTGGGGACTCATGAAGGTGGTCAGAAGATGCTAACTCTTCCGTTCTGTCTTTCCTCTCACTGCTTAGCTGCCACGAGGAAACAGCTTCTCAGCTAAGTCCTTCCATTGCGATGTCTCCATCTCAACCCAGGCCCACAGTAATGGAGCCAGGCAGATATGGACGGACACTTTTGAAATCGTGAGCTGCAAACCTTTCCTCCCTTAAACTGTTGATCTCACAGTGATGAAAGACTGATCAACACAAATTAATAACTCAGAAACAGCTCAGGGGCTGATGAGATGGCTGCCAAGCCTGTGGACCTGAATCCTATTCTCAGGACCCGTATAGTGGAAGGAGAGAACTGAGTCTCACACGTTGTCCTTTGACCTCCACATGTGCACTGTGACGCGCGTGCGCGCGCACACACACACACACATGCACACACACACGCGCAGGCTCATGTGCATGCACGCGCACACACAGCAGTTCAATATGAAGTACTTGTCACTTTTTGTTCTGATAACCCACAACTATGTGTAGTAAGGCACCCAGAGAAACACCACAAACCCAGAAAGACCCTAACAAGGCAAACACACACAGACTGTGTGTGCCTAGACTCAGGCACAGTACGGGGGACTCTGGAGGCCCTGTGATGGGAAGGAGGACAGAAGGAAAGCGTTTGCTGGATAAGAGCTAGAGGCAGTAGTATCCCAGGCTCTAGATGCTGTGGACTCTACTGCAACCACACATCTCTTTCATATTCCTCCATTACCATCACCTACCTAGTAAACAACTGTGTCATGCCAAACCTCAATCATTCCACAGGAAAATGTAAGCCTTGAAAAGAAAGCTTTGTGAGGCAGGACAGACTAATAGGGACCAAGCGTCCTTGGGAGCCTCCCGAGTGTCCACCTGCTCCCTGTCCATCAGCTGCAGCTTAGAAACCCTTTCTAAGACTCAAGTACACATGTTTCCTGTCTTCCACATCCAGAAACCCTATTATCACCTCTGTCCCGGTCCAGCTCTCCCCAGCTGAGAGTGAAAGCATGTGACCTGACTACACAACACAGTATCACAGGCCAAAATGCCCAGAAGCCTGGGAGGACTGCATAGGTCCTTCTCCTCCAGTCCATTTGGTGTGTGGTGTTTCCACACAAGATTTTCAACCAATTTCCTATTAATGAAAGATTATCTGGCAAAAAGGCAAAGGCCCACCCATAAGGACCACTTGCACAAGAGCAGCCAGCCTTACCTTCTTCAGCAGAGTGCCGTCAACGACCATCCTGATAAGAGCAGACAAAACTACACAGAGCAGCGCAGAAACAAGCGCCATCACACCTCCTGCTGCCAGCCACGGGAGGCTGCAGAGGTAGCATGAGCTCTCGGATGAGGTGCATACCAGGACATGGATGGCCGAAAGAACCAGAAATATCAAATAAAAGAGCAGAGAAAACACAGGTGACAACAGAGGAACATCCAGTTCAGCCTTTCTGCACAGCACATGCGGAGTGCTAAGGAGGAACAGGGTGAGAACCTGAAATAGAAGAAAATCAAGGGTCTCTATGGAAGACCAGGCACGATCAAAATGAGCCCATCCCATTGCTCATACAAGAACAGCAACAGCAAAAAGACCCAAGGGAAAATTATTTTTAGTTTTTGCTATAACTGTATAGCTTGATTTATAGTTTTATTTTTTATAGCAATGCTGAATCAAGTCATTTGACACATCAGGATGCACAATGGAAGAATAAAAAAATTCTTATTTTCCATGTTACACCAGTGTTCTTTTTAGACACAGGTCTTATTATAGCCCAGGCTGGCATGACTTAGACACCTTCCTGTCTTGGTAGCCTGAATTCTATGATTACAGACAAATACTACCAGGCCCAGCAGTAATGATATATATTTAAAACTATCATGTTTTGGCTGAGTTGCAAATCAATTTAACACCTAAACCATGATAACATAAGCGTCTGTACCTCCAAGACCACGATAGTCCCTACTGCCATGGAGTAGATGTCATAGTGAGCCACTTGTGTGCTCAGAGACAGACTCAGGGTCTTCAGGGCACCCAGGTATTGCCTGAGTACTTTGGTCCCCAGGCCAAGCAGAATGTCTGAATGGTTTTCTTCCAAGTGCAGTTTGACCCAGTTTCCATGCAACCTTTCTGCCATTTTAAACTGCTCAAATCCAGGATCTATTAGAAAGAAGGATTATACATACTTACAATTCTACCACATTATTCCTGGCATATTCTTTAGAACTGATACCTAATGAAGGCAGGAAGGGTCAGCAACACTATGGTAATACTGTAACAGCTGATGGCGTACATATCCACCCACTGTCAACACAGCCAGGACATGGGATGGGTACTCGGCATACTTAGTATAGGCAGAAATAAGCACCCACGGCTTGGCCCAGACACTTTTTTTACATCTCTCATGTGATCTTATCTCTCTCCTCTCTTCTTTCTGTCTCTTCCCATACTTTCTTCTTGCGAAACACAAAAGCAATTCTGAAATGTCCTGCATCAGCAGGCCCTGGCTTCACAGAGCCCTTCTCGTCGTGACATGTGTGAGGAACCCTGCCCATACGCTGCACAGGCTGATTCTTGCGTCTTCCCACTCCCTTCCTTAATTAAGACCCTTCTTCACAGTCCTCCTTGCTAAGGCAGAGCATTCTCTGGCCTCCTGTTTACAATGGCCGGTGATGCCACTGGCATGGAAGGCCTGGCTTCTGGGTGTGCCCCAGGCTACCCCTTTCCTCTAGCTCTGCATGGTGTGCTGCTGGAGCAAGGAGCCGGCAGTCCTCTTTCCAGACCTGGCTATTACTCTTTACTGTGCTGTGCTTGCTTGTGACTAAGTGGGTCTAAAGACCAAGACTTTTCTTCCTGAGATGCTCTGTTCTTTAAAATGCACCTCACACCCCAGCAGTGCCAGATGCCTTCACTCCCCAACAGTGCTGCACAGTGATCTGCGACTACAACTCAAGCTTCACCCTCACAGCGGAAAAAGAACTTAGGCACCATTGCTGGGGACAAGGGTTCGGTGCACAATTTAATGTGAACCTGAACACTTCAGGCTGCACCTCTCTTGACTGCCAGTCGTTACAACTTGCACAGACAAAGACTGGCCAGCATCACTCTGAACAGCTTACTCACTTCTGCAACAATTATGCCTGTTCTCCAGATGAGAAATAGAGACAGAATTAAGGCATTTGCTCAGGTCATAGAGTGAGTGACAGAAAGCATTATTCTAAACTCTGATAGTAAGTCAAAGGCTGGTGCCCTCACTGCTACATCATGCCAAAGTAGGGGTATCTGTATCTGTACCCCAAGCCACAGAGACTTGGGCCACCTATGCTTATACCCCACAGGCTCTATAAGTGAACTCTAGAACCTCTATCTATCCCTATAGCCTCCATAAGGGTCATAAAGACATAGAGCTGTGTCTTTAGCGCACAGCCTCTATGAATAAGTTACAAAGATCTGGCTTATCTTTGTGTATACTCAACAGTTTTACACATTTCTACAAATGAACCACAGAAACACAGGATATTTGTGTTACATCTTACAGCCTCTATAAAATGAGTCATAGAAACCTGGGGTTCCTGTTCATGCAGCTAAATGAACACTTCCTAAGAACTGACTGTATCCTAGATACTGAATCTTGAATAAGAAACACAATGGGTTGCAAATTAAAAAAACCAAAAACAAAAAGAAATACGATGGTAAATAAATAGGTACAACTCCTGCCTGCTTATGCTCTGATTCAGAAGTATTCACAAATACAAACACATGTAAACTAAACACTGCTGTAGGCATGGGCACATATGATAAACTGTGGAGGCTGGAGGCTGGAGAGATGGCTAAGAGCTCTGCTCTTTCAGTGAATCCAGGTTTGACTCTCAGAACTCACATGGTAGTTCACATCCATCTACGTATACACAACTCCAGTTCCAGGGGACCCAACATTCTTTTCTTTTGGCTTCTGCAATGCACACACAGGGCACACATATAAACATGCAAACAAAACACCTATACATATAAAAGATTTTTTTGGTCACAAAATATGCTATAAAGGAAAAGAGATGATAGGAGGGATTTCCGGTAATGGAGAATAATTGATTTTTGACTGGAAGAGGAATATAAGGCAAGGACAGTCTGATAACTGACTGTAAAGGATGCCCAGGAATTAACTAGGAAAGAACATCCAGTCACTATGAACATCTTGTTCAAGTTCCTAAGGTGCACACAACAAACAAAAGGCTGTTCCCATCAGAACGAAGACAGAGGGCAAGAGCATCAGATTTGGCTAGACGTTATGGAAGATTCTGTTGGCCTTGCTATGGGATTTACAGTGTACTGATGGTGTAGTATTAATGATAGTCAATGCTATAGGAAAACAATATATTTATTTACCAGAGAGAGAGAGAGAGAGAGTCGCACAAACCAGGAGTTAGAAGCGTGGCTGGCTTCCAGGAGAAAAGGGAGGTTCCTTTTTCTTTCACTTCCTTTTATATCTATCTGTTTCAGTTTACATGTCCCCACCCTCATGGGCAGATAGCTTTGTGGGGTTCACTCCTACAGTGTAGACATGGGTAGGCCTCCTAGGATTGAAGGGCCCCCAAGAATGTCTCCTAATCCCTGATGGCTTGTTTCCTTTCCAATTAACATGGCTCCTAATTTTTTTCTACCCTAACATTTCTGAAACAGCAGATAATCCTTAGTAGCTGTTTTTTGTTGGCAATTTTGCTAGACTAGAATTTTTCTAAGAGCAACAAAATATGCAAAAATACCAAGCAATGCCTGGCCTGGTGGCTAATGCCAATAATCTCAGCTACTCAAGAGGCTGAGTCAGGAGGGTCACAAACTGAAGGGCAACCTGAGCTACAGAGTTCAAGGGCAGTCTGCATTCAATAACAGTGAGACTGTCTCAAAATAAAACCAAAACAGGACTGGAGATGCAGTTTAGTGAGAGAGCATTTGCCTAGCATATGCAAAGAATAAGGTTCAATTCCCAGTAGTATAAAGCCAATCAAAAAAACAAAACAAAAATAAAATAAAACCAAACGAACAAACAAAACCACCCAAAAAATAAAAACAGAAAACTCCACCACATATACACACCAAAATAAAACAATAAAACATCACCATACTTAAAACAACAAAAAACCCAAACTAAATCAATCAATCAATCAACCAACCAACCAACTAACACCTTCCCACCCCTGAAAATAAGACCTTACAAGACTAAAAGTTATTTTATGGGGAAAAAAAAGTAAGAATAACAGTCATGTATAATCTAGACTGAAAACTATATGGAGTGCTTACTCCCCTTGTACATGACTCCCAGTCATTTCCCAGGGGCAGGCAGGGGCTGTTTTCCACAGGTTAACACTCATGCTCCTTATCCTGCTAGCTGTATATCACAACTTAAAGAAGAAAGCTTCCCAGTCAAACACTGCCTCACACACAAGCACCTCCTCTAGACTTGTGAAAGAGACCAGCGACAGACGTGTTCGTCTGTGATGTGCTGGGCATACCAGAGTAAATCAGCTGTAAGTGAGACTCCGGTATCTATACAGGGGCTCACAGAGGTTTACAATTCTCCTGGGATCATTCCTAGTGGCATAGGAACTGTCCTTAGTGTCTCCAGCTTAAAGACAAACATCTGCTTAGACCACAGTCCACCTGTACCCATACTACCCAGGCTGTCCCCAGCACAGGAGCTACTCCAGCAATCACTAATGACTCCATGTCCTCAGAACCAACATTTAGCTCCCAATTCCCCTTAATTTTACAGCATCAACAGATGCTTACTTTCTACTTTCATAGCTTTCCGCCCCATGTCCCTGAGTCTCTCAATACCCTGCTGTTTGAATAAGAGTAGACCCCTAGGCTCATATATTTGAATACTTGGTCCCTGGCTGGTAGAACTGTTTAGAAATGATTAGAAGGTGTGGCTTTGTTGGAGGGGTCACTAGGGGTGGCTTTGAGGTTTCAGGGCCCCTCACCATCCCCAGTTAGCTCTCTCTCTCTCAAGCTTGCAGACCATGATGTAAACTCTAACAGCATGCCTGCCTGCCTGCCTGCCTGCCTGCCTGCCTGCCTGCCTGCCTGCTGCCATGCTCACTGCCACAATAGCCATGGACTCTAAGCCTCTGAAACTATAAGTCCCAAATAAACTTTCATCTATAATATTAATGATAGTCAATGCTATAGGAAAACAATATATTTATTTACCAGAGAGAGAGAGTGTGTGTCACACAAACCAGGAGTTAGAAGTGTGGCTGGCTTCCAGGAGAAAAACGGGAGGTTCCTTTTTCTTTCACTTCCTTTTATATCTACCTGTGTCAGTTTACATGTCCCCGCCCTCATGGGCGGATAGCTTTATGGGGTTCACTCCTACAATTCCCCTTTTAGTCTAAATAGAAGATTTAAATTTGATACAAACTCAAACATATACAACATATATACATAGAGGGTGATAATTAAGTTATAATCTACTTATCCTAAGCTAAACATATCCATTCCACCTAAATTCTAAACTTATCTGAAAAGGATGCTTAAGTCTGAACACATCCTTCCAATCCCAACCCTAAAACAATCATGATGTCTTTCTTTTTTTTTTTTTTTTTATTTTTTTTTTTTTGGTTTTTTTGAGACAGGGTTTCTCTGTATTGTCTTGGAGGCTGTCCTGGAACTCACTCTGTAGACCAGGCTGGCCTCGAACTCACAGAGATCCGCCTGCCTCTGCCTCCAGAGTGCTGGGATTAAAGACGTGCGCCACCAACGCCCGGCTCAATCATGATGTCTTATCACAGAAATAGCCAAGACGCCATGGTCACCTATTCTTTCACTGCACAGCTGAAAATCTGGGGTTGTGCCTTTGGTCTCAGGCCATCTTCTCCTTATACCCCACTGTACCGGAAAGTAGTTTTACCGCCTCCAAAAGCACATCTACAATGCAACTACATATAACTTCCATCACTGTGCAGGGCCCATGCTGCCTTACCTCTCACCTAAACACTGTCACTACTTCTTGCCTGCTCTGCTACAGTACAAGGCAGAACTTCCAGAAGAAGAACCTTTGAAAATCCAGAAAACTCGGTCATATCCTCCTTCACCTAGACAAAAGAGAAAGTTCATCTAATGTCTAAAAGCCCTCTGATGACATCTCTGACCTCATCTCTGGGACCTCTGACCTTCAGAATATAAAGCTACCTCTTAACTCTAAAGCCAGGCTTGTCTTAGGATACCAACCCATCTATGCTCCCATCTTTTCCTAGGGTTCTGGTCACCATCTGTCATCTATCACAATACTTTTGTTTTCTTCATGCTGGAAGATTCTGTGAGAACAGAGATACCAGTGCTTTATCTCCAGTACTTTTAATATGGTGCCCCTTGTTCATAAACAAAAACTTGGTAAATACTTGTTAAATTAATAAATGTATAAAAGATTTCAAATAGCTTAATAATATTTGTGGTGTTGCTAATAGTGACAGTTAAGGGACTAAGAAAACAGGAATATAACATTCATAGTTAAAGAGTGACAACTACAAAGTATTGAATGACAAATCACACACCAGAAAAACATTTGGAAAACATAAGGCCCATGGAATCATGAAGACCTTACAGAAGTTAGAATTACAATTGTATTACCTTTTTCATAAGATGGTACATTTTCTTGCAATAGTTTGCTAAGCTGTAATGTGTTTAAGTGTAAAAATCTCAGTTGCTCTCTCATTGGTTTTCCTTCTATAACTGGAAATAAGAGGTGCCCTACACTGTCTTTAGGAATCGGCAAACCAAGGCCTATTGCTAGTGTTGCAGCCAAGTCAGTCTGCTGGACATGCTTTGGGTGTCGAATATCCCCTGGAAAAAAAGAAAACATTGTAAGCAATAGATTTCTACAAGGTAGAAAATGGTAGCTATTCTTGAATTTAAGCAACTACAGCTAATGTAAGTCAAAACTACCATGTCTTCAAACCACTCAACTAGAGAGTCACACAGAAACCACCTGCTTGCTTTTTATGTCAATAAAGTGACCAAGCATTACCTTCCCTTAAGTGACTTATAATCTACTGGATAGAATCTAATTTTAGAAATACAGTTATTGTGATTGTAGCACTGCACATGGAAGTGACAAACAGTCAAGGGATGGTCACCTGGATGATGTTGAGTCAACATGAGTTAGGATTAGCAGTGGTTTCTGACAGGATCTTTTCCTGGGAAAGCAGGATGAGGCTGGGCTCAGCTGAACAGGCATGGCCACTGACTAGGACAATGAGGACAATTAAGAAGTAAGATTCTGCCTGTCCACACAATCTTTTCAAGCTTTCAGTAGCTGCCTGCACTACCAGCTCCTTAGAGGAAGAATGGCTGTCGTGTTCAGACACCAGATGCAGGGCCCTGGTACACCAAACAACCCTGGGTGAAAAGTAACCTAGTAGAGATTCCTCATCTGTAAAGAATGTGACCCCCCAACCCCACCCTACCTCCACCCCAGAACCATCAGGACAGGTTTACAGGGCTTATGTTGTTTTGAGTTGAAAAACAAATGTGAAACAGAAGCAAATACAACACAAATTCACTCTATCAGATACTCTCCTAAGACTGATGCATGTTTACTGTGGGATCACATCAGTATACTCCTTGTGAGGTTCGAACTCTACCAAATACTGATAATCAGGACTCTAAGCTCAGGTAGAAAAGAGGCAATTTCATAGTTCTGACTGTGAGCTGGAAGCATCAATTCAAACTCAAGATTACCTTATATTAAAAGATTTCCACCAGGTGGTGATGGCACACACCTTCAATCCCAGCACTTGGGAGGCAGAGGCAGACAGATCGCTGAGTTTGAGGTCAGCCTGGTCTACAGAGCCAGTTCTAGGATTGCCAGGACTACACAGAGTTCTATCTCAAACAACAACAACAAAAACAACAATAAAGATTTCCTTGTTCTGACCAGAAACCTAACAGGACCCAGCATAAGTTCACACTTCTAGCTCTGAGACAGTATATAAAACCAATTCTACTTGAAGGAGCAGGGTATCCTGGGGAAGCTAACTGAGCCTGAGAAAGACAAAGGCATGACAGCTAGGAATACTGTTCAGAGGGCAAGAGAGGGATGAGAGGCCATTGAGGTCTTACCTAAAGGACTTGGGTGGATACTAACTACTGAAGTTGGGTGAACCATCTAGAAACTTACACTGGCTACCTTTAACAGGTCTGAAATTTTCCACAATAAAGAATCTTTTCAAAGGTTAAAATGTTTGGGTCTGGGATTTATATTAGTTTAAAAAGTGAGGTGGGTAACCAGCATTATGGCTTACCAGAAGGTTACCTGGGCAGACTAACTATGTTAACATCCTGTATTAAGTGTCCTGTCTTTTTTCATTAATGTGAGATGCTACTATTATCAACAAATCTTTTATGCTGGAATCTATTCTTTTGCTTTTTTTATTTAAATTAGAAACCAGCTTGTTTCACATGTCAGTCCCAGCTCCCTCTCCCACTCCTCCTACCCCGCTCCCCCTCCAAGCCCCCAACCCCCCCGCCCAATCCCTACTTTGCTCCCCAGGGCGGGTGAGGCCTTCCATGGGGGGGCTGGAATCAATTTTTAACCTCTTTATTTTCCTCCACTGATAGGCCTGACCAATCTTGCCAGCACAAACTGTTTTAATAACTATAGCTTTGCAATGTGAACACGGGCTATAAAGGTTTTTATCCTACAGTCTTTAAGAGAACTATTCTCAGTTCTCCCACTACTTATATACACTTCCATTTGCCCCGTGACACCCCTAATTCAGCAATCTTTTAAATCTTTAATAAACAAATACTGATGAAAAAGATGTCAGGCACCATTTTATAGGCTTAGAAGACAAAACAAGTTTATGAAACAGGCCAAGTCCTACCTAGTGGTGTGTCAGCCAAACCAACATATCTGCTCTGCCCTATGGTGGTCCAGGAGGAGGTATGTTATTTTTCCCCAGCTCCTGGAGTGACCCATACCCATGCTTCCCACTGGGGCCTGAAGACTCAGGCTGAGCAATCTATGAGATCACATGGCAAATAATCCAAACTTCATAAAAACAACAGCCACATTTACAGTCTGGGAATTATCTAAGAGCATTTATCAAATGAGGAATCATTCATTCATGACAGCAGCTTTGTAAGAACTTTAAGAGTCTGTGGCACATGAATCTATAACCTCCCTTCCCCTGCCGGAACCCAGGTTCCAGAAGACAGCAGCTCCACAAGAGTGTCAGTCACTCTGTTGTACAGAGTGAGTGTCTGCCCCCCAAGGTAAAAACAGGCCATCTATCACCTATTTTTGTGTTTCAAACAAAAGAGCAATCTGGTGGCAAAAGTGGAACTTCCAAGCGTGGTGACAGCCATAGAGACAGCAGCATACAAGGGCACCACTAAGGAAGCAACCAATAGTTCCACCCAGCTGTACTGCCTATGAACTACTGACAACCTATGACGACCAGCACAGCAGGATAACCCTACGAGTGCAATAGTGGCCTCATATATTAGTGGTAACCAACAGCTCTAATTGGATTTAAGGCCCACTCAACAGGATGGAAATCATGCCTGGTACTGGAAAACTAACCAACTCTCCAGGGCTGGTGGGCTCATGGATTTTAGAAGAGAACTTAATAACACCACTTTACTAAACCAGGGTAATTCCTAAGTGCATCCTAAATATTTATTCTTATACCCACAGATAAATGTAGCTGTCACCACTCATCAGAAAGACTTCTCTTTGTAACAGATGGAGACCATTTTAGAACACTGGTCAAAAAGCAGGCAACAAGAGGTACCCAGCTGCAATTGATACAGCATAACTCCTGCACACCTGCAGCATAACTCCTGCATACCTACAGCATAACTCCTGAACACCTACAGCATAACTCCTGCACACCTGCAACGTTACTCCTGCACACCTGCAGCATAACTCCTGCACACCTGCAGCATAACTCCTGCACGCCTGCAGTGTAACTCCTGCACACCTACAGCATAACTCCTGCACGCCTGCAGTGTAACTCCTGCACACCTGCAACATAACTCCTGCACACCTGCAACGTAACTCCTGCACACCTACAACGTAACTCCTGCACACCTGCAGCGTAACTCCTGCACGCCTGCAGTGTAACTCCTGCACACCTGCAGCATTTAACTCCTGCACACCTGCAGTGTAACTTCTGCACATCTGCAGCATAACTTCTGCACATCTGCAACGTAACTCCTGCACACCTGCAACATAACTCCTGCACACCTGCAGCGTAACTCCTGCACATCTGCAACGTAACCCATGCACTTAAAGCTCAGCAAACATCTTCATGGAGAAGGCTGAAATTTTTTAAGAGGATCAGGAAATCTGCTATAATATTGTGCTTCCTAGAAATGACAAGGGGCTTGCACCCCTAACACCTCAACAATATGGCAGCCTAAACAAGACCTGAACAAGTAAAACACCATTAGACATGATAACATGAAAGGGGTAAATCTCACAGCCTCCTCAGAAAAGAACTACAAGCAACTAAAGATATATATATATATATATATATATATATATATATGTATATATATATATATGTTTCTCTTTTTAGAGGGTAAAACAACAATGAAGAAAAAGAGACCACGATTTATTTCAAGGGGGAACAAGCAAAAGGTACATGGAAGGGATTGAAGGAAGGAAAGGGAGGGGGATTATATAATTTTAATTTTAGAAATTTTATTTTAAAAACCTCATGGGATAAGATGAGCATACTGAGAGAAATTTCTGCCCATCACTTTAATCTTCTACATACTGCTTCATGACTTTAAACTAAGCATGCTCGAGACTGTATGCCTTTTTAAAAAGTCTCTTCAGACAGGGTCTCTCTGTGTAACCTCCATGGCTGTCCTGGAACTCACAGAGCTCTGCCTGCCTCTGCTTCCTGACTGCTGGGATCAAAGGAATACACCACCACCAGCCAGTAGGAGTGTACAGTTTAATTGTGCATGTTTATAAGAGGCCAACCTCTCTATATGAATATGTATAGGTTCCCTAACTAAAACCTCTGCTTCTGTCCAAAAGATCATTGCTTTGGAAATGACTCTCACGGTCTTGCCAACTGCAGGTACATCTTTTCTCTACTCCTTCATGTCCTGGCTGCACTTGTTTTGGCTTTGCACTGACCAAGATGCAAACCCAATGCATTAGGCTACAGGACCACAGAACCAGAGATTATCTACAGGTGTCAACTTTTCTGCAGAAACACTACTGTAGCCATGTTTTAGTCTTGTGGTGGCAGACGGGCATGCAGCTGTGAAGGGATGGAGGAGGGGATGACAGGCCAGGTCAGTCAGGTACAGGTTAAAAAAGTATTATGTTTGATCTAGGAATGGGGTCTTAGCTGGTCCATTGTGCTCTCTCTGAACCTGACTCTGCTGTCATCATACAATTTTAAATAGTGAGCACTTTTAAAAACATTTAAATATTAGCTGCTGGCATGTTTTCGTTTTTTAAAATATTTATAGCCAGGCAATGGTGGTGCACCCCTTTAATCCCAGCAGTCGGGAGACAGAGGCAGACGGATCTCTGAGTTCAAGGCTAGGTTGGTTTACAGAGTGAGTTCCAGGACAGTCAGGCCTACACAGAGAAATCCTGTCTCAAAAAACCAAAGGAAAGCAAATAGTATTATATTCCCTTACTTATTCATTTATGTATTTATTTATTTTGTGTATATATGTACATGTATGGGCACATGCATGCCAGGTCAGAGGACACTTGTGAGAGTGATTTCTTTCCTTCCACCAGGTGGGTCCCAGAGATGTAATCCAAACAGTCATGCTTGGCCAGCATTTCCCTTACCAACTGAGACATCTCAGCAGCCCGGGAGGCAAATTTTGAGGAGTTACATACCTAGACAAGCAATATTCCTGCAATAGAATTCTTACAGAATTTCTTTTTTGAGAATCAGAGGAAAGAATGTGAATTATAAATACTGACTGCCCAACTCCCCTTTAATTTTTATTTCACATTGTTTTGGTATAACTTATATCAAACTATAGTTTAAAATGTTAATCTCCAGGGGCTGGTGGTGCACGCCTTTAATCCCAGCACTCAGGAGGCAGAGGCAGGCAGATGTCTGTGAGCTGGAGGCCAGCCTGGTCTACAGAGCGAGTTCCAGGATAGCCAGGGCAATTACAGAGAGAAACCACAAAACAAAACAAAATTTAAGTGCTAATCATTCCTAATTCTCACCAGGTTTCCTTTCAAATGCAGAGCTGACTAAGATCAGAGGTGTGCTTACTTCCTCCGTGGAAGAGGCCCCGTGGCTCCCTGTTTCAGACATCCCATGGTCACCACAGACAACCAGCAAACTGGGTGAGAGAGTCTCTCTCTCCTGTAAGACAAAGGAGAACCTGTCAGCTGTATATGTCTGGCAAAAACATATATGGTCTTGGAAGGGAACGTAACTGTAGAACTTCACTTTAGGTCCTAAATAGGACCTTCTCCTTAATGCATTTAATCTCTTCCAATAAGCTTACAGTCAGATCAAAGGGGCCAATTCAATCCTGTTACGGGTGAAGAGAGAACAATACATAGTTCACAGAGTACATAAGGGTTGTGTTTATGACCTCTGAGAATATCTGTCATTCCCAGGCCGTGGGCACATGATTCCTCCTGCCTAGGTTCCCTGTCGAGAGAGGTATTAGAGGCATTTATTTTACAGGACTGTTTAAAGGGAATCACACAGAATCCAGAGAGTGAACTAAACAGGTCATGGGCTTTCTTGAACCAGACCCCAGCCATTTGATCTTATCTGCTCCAATAGTACCGGGCAGGCTCTTGACCCTCAATGCTTCCCTACCTGACACACACGCACACAGATAGTATGAATCTGTCCCTTCCTCCCTTCAAGCCTCCGTTCACATGGAATACTCTTCCAGGACAACTGTCCTGAATACACCATTTACAATTATAGACTCTCCTTAGAACAGGGGTTAGTTCCTCCCCCCTGTGCTTTCCTGAGACAGCATCTACGTTTTGGCACACTTACATTGCTTACTGTATTTCTCATGTTTCCTTTCCGGACAGAATGTAACTCTACACATAGTTGCCAACCAGGGAACATTGATCTAGAAGGTGCCCCAGAATGTAACTCTACACATAGTCACCAACAAAGGAACATTGATCTAGAAGGTGCCCATGGCAGAAGCATGACTGGCTGACAGACAATGGGCAGTGCTCTCTCAGCCATTTCTGTTCCTTCTAGGAAATACTGGCAACATGAAATCCCATCACCACCCAACGTACAACAAACAGTGAGACTTACCTTCGACAACAGTGACGTGTGAATCTTCATCAGGATACTGTCCATTTCGCTGAGCTTGTGACCAATCAGGGGGCTGTTAGGCCCAGAAATGTGGCCAATGTGATCCAGCCCCAGATAGTGAAGGATTAACACATCCCAGTCTCCTCTTTTTAATACTTTATCCAAATGTCTTGTGACGTTATTATCCACCTTCAAAGGGGGAGCAGGGAGGGAGGACATACATATAAACAGTGCATCCAATTTTTTCCCGGATCACCAGGAGTCAATCTTAGGTAACAGGACTCATGAAAATTGAAAACAAAAACAAAAACAAAATAAAACAAAAGTCCCGAAGTTATTTAAAAAATGAATATTAAGATTAGACTAAGCTCTTATTATGCCTATTCTTTTTAATGTCTCTAGTTTGTGAACAAAATATATTATACAGATAATCTAAAGGAGTAAAAAGCTATTCTGGCATACACACATACATACACACACACACACCCATGGGATCATTGCTTGTCTTAACTAAAGCTGAACAAATTAGCAAGCTAAACAGGCCCAAGAAGCCTGTTTAGGGATAATGAAGGGCAGCCAACCAAGACAGTATGCAGTACAGTTAGGAATAAGTAACAGTCCTACATAAAGGCTACTGTTGGAAGGAAGACAACAGCATTTATCTCCATTTCTGAAGCAACATCATGACGATGTGAGTAGGTAAACAGTTCCTGATAGGGCCAGTAGCCTGCTTAGCCCTGAGTCTTCAGTGAGCCCATTTCCCCCTCACTAAAGCACGCACCGCAAAGAAAAGTGTTCCACTTGATGATACAGCATGAAAACTTGTTACTACCGAAAAGCCACACTGTGCCTGCCCAGGTGAACTGTGGAAAGGGTATGCCACTCTAGAAAAGTTATTGGTAAAACTATACACACTCAAGGACTGGCCCCCCAGACCCTAAACTATGCAGAGATTCTTATTCTAGTGCTTAACAGATTAACACCTGTGGATTATCACTTCTGCCTCAGTCAGGCCCAACCTTCACACACTTGGATCTAATCCTTATCTTTCCCTTGCTGGAGCCTGCACCCCAACACCGGCAGATGCCTCTCAGGATAAGACTCTACTTCACCCACCACAGGCCTCCAGAGAAAGGCTCTGTTCCCCTGTCCATCCAAACAGTTAAAGAACTGCAGGTTGGCACTGTTGCCTCTCCTTTTGGCCATGTGGAGAATCCTCACTCATTCAGTGATTTAGTTCCTCTGCTCTGGCACTCTTCCTGACTGTCTGTGACCTTAACATCTACCCAACTGCTTTGTATTTGGGGGGGCCTACACCTTGGTTCACACCTGCAGCAGGGTTTGTATCTCCACTTACAAACTGATTATATAAATGAATGATTCTTACAACCTTGCCATACCACTCCATAAATTAGTAAGTACCACACAGGAAATAGCATCACCTCTAAGTGGAAAATGGTAGTATCAGGCTGACCTCTATATAATCTGACACAAAGAATGATGTCGTTCCGTCATATTCCACAAAATGCTTTGGGAATAATTTAAGCCATGTTTCATCTCCATAGAAGATCATTCTTTTCCCAGCGGCTTTTGCCTGCCTTATCACATTGTCTTCTAGGAGCACGGGAGAATTGAGGTTCCTGATGACATCAACAAAGCCAGGGACACTCCCTGTCATCAACGCCTGCAGGAAGAAACATTCAAGACTTAAAAAAGTACAGCACCGAAGACAGGAAGATCGCTTAGGGGTCAAACAAATGGATACAGACCTACAGTAGGCCGGTACTGTTGACTGAGTCAATCATAGTGGGTAAGACAGAACACAGACCTTGGACAAGAAACATCAAACTCGATAATGAAGATTTGATTATGTAATGAACATGGTTCAGGCACTGCTTTCACTGGTAAGACAGTAAAGGAGGAGACAATAATAGGTAGACATAGTGCCAGTCACAGAAGCTATGGGTTAATGCTAATGTGTATGTCTATACATTAAAAACATCAATCTGTATACTCAGACCCCTTGTCAGGGTTCCACGTGAGATTTAACTTGCTCTATGGGACAAGAGAGAGCTCATTAACTCTAACAAACAAACCCTAATAATCCAGCAAATCTAATATCTGAGCTTTTTTCAAAAAAACAAGAGGAAACACTGTCCATATACAGTTCTTAAAGTGAGCTGGGTCAGGAACGTCGATGGAACATCAGACCCCACCCACAGTGTTGCACCGTGTAACAGACGTTTGGTGTGAGATAGCCCATCTTTCTGATACAGAGCCGAGTCGATACTCTCCCCACCTTTATCACACACCCTACCAGGTGACAGTAATGGTAGTGAACCGTCATGATTTGGAGTTATACCACCACCTAAGATAAGAGTCATGACTTTGTGGTTAAAGCAAACAGGAATCTTTGTGATGCCTACAGAATTCTCGTAAGATTTCTTCAGTGGCAAATAAATGCAAACTTCTTCATTTTTAGGCTCTAGGGCTTGAACTCAGTGATACACATATACTAGGCAAATGATCTACTGTTGAGTTTTATCACTCTAAATATATAAATACAAATCACTTAGTAGTCACTCAGTAAGCAGTCTCCAAGCCACGGTTCTTGGATAAAGCACTATGCGCTTCAAAACTACCCTCACCAAAGTAGACAATTATGTAGAAGTAACAATTGTTGAGGGCAGTTTATATTTGTTTGATCATTTTGTATAATTCCCACACACAATTTAACCTGAGTTTGTTTTCTTATGTATACAATTTATGAACTAGACTGACTATCCCTCAAGCCTGATGACTAAGGAACACACCAGGCTACCAAAGAGGAAGGTATCTCTTGGCCTACAGTGGCCTGGACAATCTGGCTCTAAATCCTTCCTCCTTTCCATGAAGTATGAACTCTGGCTGCTTCACAGGGCGTAAAAAGAAGGCTCCATCTTATTATTGGGTTACTTCAGCATCCCACCACCCCAGTTAAACCGACAACATAAAAACACTTTCCATGTTATTAAAATAGGATCTCCCAGGTAGATTAGATAATCTCTCTAAACTTTCAAAAGAGCCAAATCACGATTCATAAAACACCAAGTTAAATGTTGTACCTTGATTCGAGGCATAGTAACTGTGGGTGGCTTTGCCTCAGCCACAAAACTATGAGATGCTCCTTTTTCTACCAGGTAAGTTGTGTAGGGCATGTACTTCACACCTTTTGACCCAAACACAAAATCATCTCTTAAGGCATCTATCAGCATAATAACAACTTTATTGAAGAGAGGTGATGGCAGCTTGGTCCAGTTCGAGCTGGCTCCTAAAAGTGTTTAGAAAAAGGGAAATTAAAATTTAAACTTTATTTAGGAGCTGGGCGTTAGTGGCGCACGCCTTTAATCCCAGCACTCAGGGGGCAGAGGCAGGTGGATCTCTGTGAGTTTCGAGGCCAGCCTGGTCTACAGAGCGAGTTCCAGGACAGCCTCCAAAGCAATACAGAGAGAAACCCTGTCTCGAAAAATCAAACAAACAAAAAACCCTCAATGGCCATCCTATGTCTTTCATACCATACCTAGTTTTGGTAGCCAGTGTTGAGTTAATTTTCTAAGAGACCAGAGGAGACAACAAGGGTTGTTACTAATCCGCAGATGCCAGACTACTAAGAGGGGCATCTTCTGGGCTAGGCTGGAGTGTATGTTAACAATGAGTAGGTATCCCAGGAATATATAGTGAATTGCTCTTAGCATAGTGAAGAGTCCGCGGGATAGGGAAGCCTCTATGAAAGAGATCTAACCGTTGGGATCTCTTGGCCTAAAACACAGCCTTGCAGGCAGTGAAATGGTGGGTCTGCCGATTGTTTACATGTCCAGTGACTGGATTGTGTGGACCTGTTTTTTTTTTTAAGCCGGTGTTTATATCTGTCTAGGTGAGGATAGTAAAACAAAATTCTAACGCAGAAAGAGGCCTTAACTACCGGGGGGGGGGGTAAGGGAGGTGAACTGGGGAGTAATATAAAACTGGAGGAGGTCTGAAGAAATATTACCTCTCACGTCCTATTGGTCAGAACTGGGAACCTAACTTGGAAGTGCCTGGAAGGATGTTTAGGAAAAGGGATGGGGATCGGTGCATAGCAGAATGGGGTGCGGAGCCAGAGTCACTCTGAATATCGCAGTGGAAGGTCGACACAGAAACGATGCTCAAGAGGACGAGTCGTTTCGGGGGGCAGAATGTGGGGGCAGCACGGAAGCGAGGACCGCTGGGAAAGGGGTCCGTACCTGCTATGGGTTCGGGCGCCGGGGTTTCTACACCGGGCTCCGGTCTGGCAGCAGAACGAACAGGAGCCGGGAAGAATCCCCGAATAAATATCGCGACCCCGATCACCTCAATCGCTACGCAGCTGGCAGCGAAGGCCCCGGAGCCCAGCCGCATCCTGCCCAAGCCGCTAGGCAGAGGTGGCCTGAAACTTGGCGGACTTGCAGGGACGACGGAACCGCTCAGCCGAGCCCACCACGCCCGGGGACTGTCAAAGTCGGCCTCCCGGCGTGCCTCACCCGCGCTAGCGCAACCGGAAATGCGTAGCAGGTGGTAAGCGCCCGCGGTCGCTCCCTGATGACCCGCCCTCAAAGAGACTCCGCCCTGGAGCCTGGGAGCAGCCCCGCCCACGTTGTTGTCCCCGCCCACTCGGGGGGCCGCCCCAAAGGCCCACTGGACAGGGTCCCCTCTGGGTCCCTCTCGGGAGCCTCGCTTCCGGTGCCCACCCAGTGATCCACGCACCGGCCCCGCCCACCCAGGACTTCCGGTTTTCACGCCTTCGACCCTTGAGCCGAGCGCTTCTGGCGTCTCCCGAAGTCCGTGCGGTTTTTAGCCTGCTGGCTTTCACGTGTATTATTAGTTAAGCCTCCCTCGCCTCCACCCGGTGTTACGGCTGCAGTTTTCTGGCAGCTCTCGAGTCCCATTCCTGGGGCAAATTAATCTGCAGATTAAGCGAGCCTGGTGTGACTGGTGATCAGTGAGCTCCCCTTCCTGGGAAAGATGCCCTTCGCAAAGTGGGCACCTGTTACACCGTCGGGGGTCACAGGTGCCGATGGGAGATGGACTGTGAAGGGCCGAGTCTTACTAAAACTCTTGACGCAGGGGCTCAGGCGACAAAGGTGGAAGCAGTCTTCGAATGGAGTCGGCACACCTGCCTCGTCTTGCTTTGCGCGAATTCTTTCTTCCTGAGGACGTTTCCTCTAGGACCAGGGTGAACTTTGAGGTGTGTCTTCTGGCCTTAAATACAAGGATCCTATTAACGTTTTTGCTGCTGTTGAATGGATTCCTTAATATCTTGGATAGCAACCTTTATATTTGATTTGTAAGTTGTTTTCATATAATTCAGGTTTCTTTTTCCAAGAAGTTTTTTTTTTGTTCTGTTTTGTTTTTTTTGTTGTTGTTTAGCTTGATGTAATCACACGTACAATCTTTTAACATTCTTTGTGGGTTTTTTGTTTTGTTTGTTTGTTTTTTCTCTGCATTGTTTTGTTTTGTTTTTTTTTGTTTTTTTGGTTTTTCGAGACAGGGTTTCTCTGTGGCTCTGGAGGCTGTCCTGGAACTCACTTTGTAGACCAGGCTGGCCTCGAACTCACAGAGATCCACCTGCCTCTGCCTCCCGAGTGCTGGGATTAAAGGCGTGTGCCACCAACACCCGGCTGTCTGCATTGTTTTGGAGGCTGTCCTGGAACTCGCTCTGGAGACCAGAGCTGGCTTCGAACTCACAGAGATCCACCTGCCTCTGCCTCCCAAGTACTGGGATTAAAGGTTTGTACCACCAACGCCCGGCTTCTTTGTGGGTTTGTTGTTTATATGTTTAAAAATAAAAATAGCATCAGTGTTGAGGAAGGTTTCTCAAGTTTTTCTTCTAGATGTTTTATAGCTTCAGATAATAGATTTTACTGGCTAGTCCGTTTGACTTGATATTTCTGTATGTACAAGGTAAAGGTCCAATTCCATTCCTCTACATATTTATCCACCACAAGTGTTGCTAAGAATATTATTGCCTTGTTACATAGTATCTTAGTTAGGGTTTTATTGCTGTGGAGAGAAGCCATTACCAAGGCAACTCTTAAAAAGGAAAACATTTAGTCGGGGCTGACTTATAACAGTTCACAGGTTTGTTCCATTATCATCATGGTTGAAAGCATGGCAAGAAACAACCTAAATGCCCCTCAACTAAAGAATGGATAAAGAAATTGCGATACGTTTACACAAAGAAATGTTTAAAAAACAAACAAACATGTATTTGAAGGCAAATGGGTAGAACCAGGAAAAAAAAATCATCCTGAGTGAGGTAACCCAGACCCAGAAAGACAAACATGGTATGTCCTCACTTACAAGTGAACATTAGCTGTTAAGTAAAGGTTAGCCATGCTATACAATCCTCAGACCCAGGAGGCTAAGGTACAGGGAGGGCTCGAGGTGGGATTCATGGCTCTCCCTGGGAAAGGGAAATAGAATAGATTTTGCGAGTGGACTAGGGGTTGGTGGGGCTGGGAAGGGAAGGGATCCAGTAGGGGTGGGGTGGAGGAGGGAGAGTACTGGGAGAGATGATTGCAGTTGGGGGGGGAGGGGCATTTGGGGGATGATGTGGAAACCTAGAGCAGCAGAAACTCCCTGGCATCTGTGAGACTCCTAGTAGTGAGGGATATGGAGCCTGAACTGGCCATCTTCTATAACCAGGGTAGGCTTCTAACAGTGGGACTGAGACACCAAACCAGCCAAAAACCTTTGACGTACCTGCACGATCTGGCCTGCCAAAAAGATGGGCTGGGGTAGTGGTGCAGAACTTGTGAGAGTGGCCAAAAAATGACTGGTCCAACTTGAGGTCCATGCCAGGAGAGGGAACCCACACCGGACACTGCCTGGATGGCCAGGAACCAGAGACCCGACAGCCCGGAGACCCAGGATAGAATCAAGCGTGACTGGGAAAAAAATTCGAATGAGATGATTCTTAATGATAGTCTGCTATACTAATAGATAGGTGCAGAGCCCCGTCGTCATCAGAGAGGGGTCATCCAGCAACTGATGAGAGCAGAGGCAGAGACCCACAGCCAAACAAAGGATTGTAGGAGCCAGAGGGATTGTGGACACCACGAGGACACGGCCCACAGAATCAACTAAGCAAGGGACTCAGTCGACAATCACAGGACCTGTATGGGTCTGAGCTAGGTCCTCTGCACATGCATTATGATTGTGTGGCTGGGTGTTCTTGTGGGACTCACAGTGGCAGTGAGGGTGTCCCTTGACTTGGCATGCTCTTAGGACTCTTTCCTATTACTGGGTTGCCTCATACAGTCTTGACATGAGGGATTGTGCCTAGTCTTACCGTAACTTGTTATGCCTTGTTCAGTTGATATCCCTGGGAGGCCTAATCTTTTTTCGAAGAGAAATAGAGGAGGAGTGGATCTGGGGGAGGGCCTGGGAGGAGTGAAAGGAGGGGAAAATGTGGTTGGGAAGTAATGTATGAGAGAAGAATAAAAAATAGTAGCAAAAAAAAAATCACTATAGTGGTTTGAAAGAAAATGGCCCCCAAAGGGAGTGGCACTCTTAGGAAGTGTAGCGTTGTTGGAGTAGGTGTGGTCTTGTTGGAAGAAGTGCGTCACTGTGGGGGCAGGCTTTGAAGTCTCATATATGCTCAAGCCACACCCAGTGTCTCAGTTCACGCCCTGTTGCCTGCAAGATGTAGAACTCAGCTACTACTCCAGCACTGTGTCTGCCTGCATGCCACCATGTCCCACCATGGTGATAATGAAGGGAACCTCTGAAAGTGTTAGCCACCACCTCAATCAAATGTTTTATAAGAGTTGCCATGATCGCCAGGTGTCAATGATGCACGCCTTTAATCCCAGCACTCAGGAGGCAAAGGCAGGAAGATCTCTTTGAGTTCGAAACCAGCCCGGTCTACAGAGTGAGTTCTAGGACAGCCAAAGCTACACAGAGAAACCCTGTCTCGACAAACCAATAAAAAAAGAGTTACCATGGTTATGGTGTCTCTTCACAGCAGTTGAAACCCTAAGATGCTATACTAATTTTTTAAAAATCCAAAGTATCTCAACTGTGGACTAATAAAATCAAAATTAATTATATGCTTTCTTACTCCATGAGAAAGAATCAGGAAAAAGTCAAAATCAAAGCAAGGCCCAAGTCCAAAAGTATAAATACTTCAATATCTAATATCGTGAATTCATAGTCTTCTGGGCTCTAAAGGTTCCATTTCTCCAGCTCTGCCAATCATAGCACACACAGCATGTATACTCAGGCTGACTCTCCTCCACACCCTACTTCTGTTCTGGGTGGTTGTCTCATGGTACTAGTTAGTGTCTCTATACACTAGGGTCTCCACTGCAACTGAGGCTGCACCCGCAACAATGGCCTTTTTCAGGGACTTCAGTCCCGCCACAACATCAGCTGCTCTTCATGACTTCGGGCTCTCAAAATGGACACCATCTGGTTGAATCTCACACATTGTCAAGATTGGCTGACAACATGAGATGCAGCCTTGGCCACTCTGGATCACAGCTTCTCTGTGCTGACCCTGAGGAAATAGTCACAGAAGATTTTACCTCAATGATTCTGGTCTCTTCTCTTCTCCTTCCTTCCTTCCTTCCTTCCTTCCTTCCTTCCTTCCTTTCGGGTGTTGTTCTGTTTTTGTTTTTGGAATTAAAGGCATGTGCCACCAACGCCCGGCTGCTGGTCTCTTCTTAATCACCACCAATTTCTCAGCTCTAGCTAACCAGCATCGATCATATCATTAAAAGGCAATAAAGCAAAGGTTTCGCTTCAGTCATTCCTGTCTCTTGTTAACCATAGCTTATTATTCAGCCCTAGTTAACCAGACACCAAAATTTTTTTTCTGTTGTTGTTTTCTTTTCTTTTCTATTCTTTTTCAAGACAGGGTTTCTCAGAGTTCTGGCAGTCCTGGAATTCTATCTGCAGACTAGGGTGGCCTCGAACTCAGAGATCCACCTACCTCTGTCTCCTGAGTGCTTCGATTAAAGGTGTGCACCCCAACCACCCAACAAACACCACAGATTAGTAATGCAAAATATTACACAAGCAGCCCCGGTGGAGTCTTTGCTGCCCTCTGAAACTCCACAAGCCAAACCTACACTGTCTGCATTTGCTCCAAGAAGATTTGAGCAATCAATGGCCTTTTCAGCCCAAAGTTCCCAAACCCTTCACCATCCTCTCATAACAATATGGCAGATCTGTCATAGCAATGCCCCACTCCTGGAACTAATTCCCATCTTAGTAAGGGTTGCTATTGCTATGTTAAAAACACCATGACAAAAATCAACTTGGGGAGAAAAGGGCTTATTTCATCTTAAACTACTTGGTAATAGTTCACCATTGAGGGATGTCAAGGCAAGAACTCAAGCAGCGCAGGAATATGAAGATTAGAACTGAAGTAGAAGCCACAGAGCAATACTGCTTACTGACTTGCTCCCTCTGGCTTACTCGGATTGCTTTCTTATACACCCCAGAGCTACCTGCCCAGAGTTGGTAACACTCAGTGGTGTGGACTAACCCACATCAGTCATTAATCAAGAAAATCTCAATCTCTCTCTCTCTCTCTCCCTCTCTCTCACTCACTCTCTCTCTCTCTCTCACACACACACACAGAGAGAGAGAGAGAGAGAGAGAGAGAGAGAGAGAGAGAGAGAGAGAGAGAGAGAGAGAGAGAGAGCGAGCCTACAGGCAATATGGATAGAGATAGAGGCATTTTCTCAGCTGAGGTCCTTTTGCCCAGAAAACTCTAGCTTATGTCAAGTTGACACAACCAATGAGGACACAAGTCCAGAGCCATATTATTTGGGACTTTTTTTTTTGGGTGTCTCCTTAATCAGCATTTATTATCCTCCTCTGTGATGTGAGCTAACATATTTGTGGCAATCAGGTGACTGTTTTGGAATGTGCAGACACCTACCAACACCACCCAAAGTCTAAGAATATTCATCAGATAATAACATCTGAGGCTTACACCTGAGATTTTCTGTGACCTGTGGCCTGGTTAGTCTTTGGTAAGCAACATTCCTCAATGGTCTTTGCTTCAGCTCCCTTCTGTAAGTTCCTGTGTCTGCCTCTGCCCAGATGTCCTTTAGTGATATGTAAGCCAAAACAAACCTCTCGCTTCCCAAGTTACTTTCAGTCCTGGTGTTTATCACAGCAATAGAAAATAAACTAGGACACGAACCTGCCCAATGTTCAAATACACCAATGTTTTGAAAAGTGTGCTGGCTGGTTTATGATAGTCTCTGTTCTGTTTCTGTAAAAACTTCTTAAAATTGCTACCTCACTGGAATATGGAATTTGGAGTAACAAGAATATGTGTTCCCAGGCCACTCAAATATAGTTCCAGAATAAACTACTCCTTTTGAGGTAATACCCTTTGAGGTAAGAGTTGTGTTTTTATGTAGTATTTTGTTAACACCTTTACTTTTTTTGAATTTTATTTCTTTTCATGTGCATTGGTGTTTTGCCTGCATGTGTGTCTGTATGAGGGTGTTGGATCCCCTGGAACTGTAGTTAGACAGTTGTGAGCTGTCATGTGGGTGCTGGGGATTGAACCTGGGTCCTCTTGAAGAAGATCCAGTGCTCTTAACCGCAGAGCCATCTCCTCGGGCCCCTCGTTAACACCTTGGTGCTAAAACAGTAAATGAATCAGAATATATGTACAAAAGAGAAATAATGCACAGTAAGTGCTCCAACCACAAGGAACCAATCTCAGAAAATAATAACACAAATATATCTAGGAAAGAGTTCCAACCAGGGTTATACAGTGAGTCGCTGTGTCAAAAAAAGGACGTTAGTAAATTCATTGAAATGAATGAAAATGAAAATATACTCCATTAATGGATAGCTTAGTGATCTGTGAAAGGCATATGCTCAAAAGCCCACTCCCATACTTTGGAGTGATTTTCTATTTTTTTTTTGACAAATGTAATGAATATGCAATGGGAAAAGACCTGTTCAACAAATGGTGCTGGCAAACTGGACTAATATGGAATTAGATCCATATCTTTTGCTGTGTATAAAACACAAAGTCCTTGATTTAAAACCCAAAATACTGTAACTGGAGGAAAGCATAGGAAATACTCTTCAAAATATTGGTATGGGCAAGAACTTTCTGAACAGAACTCCCAACAGTATAGGATCTTTTCCCAAGAAATAATGGGGCTATAAGAAATTTAAAAGTTTATGTACAGCAAAAGAAACTACCAGTAAACCACCTGTGGTGGTGCACACCTTTAATCCCAGCACCAGGGAGGCAGAGGCAGGCAAACCTCTGAGTTTGAAGCCAGCCTGATCTACAGAGGAAGTTCCAGGACAGCCTGGGCTACACAGAGAAACCCTGTCTTAGGAAAAAAAAAAAGAGAGAGAAAGAAAAAAGAAACTATCAGCCCACAAAATAGGAGAAAATCTTTACCAGCTGTACTTCAGATGGGACTAACATTCAGAATTTTCATGCGCGTGCACACACTGCAAAAATTAAATACCAAAGAAATAAAACTACCAGTCTATAAATGGGTGAATGAAATTACCAGTTTTGAAAAGAAGAAACACAAACTGAAACGTGGAGAGGTTACAAGGTGGGGGGGGGTTGGACAAGGAAAGACTAGGAAATGAGTGTGATGGGGTGTATGATGTGAAATTCCCAAAGAATCAATAAAAATGCATTGGGGAGAAAGTAAGAAATGCGGGACCTCACTTCATAATGAGAGCGCTGGGGACTCGGAGCACAGAAGGTAAAATAGCTAATTTTACGAATTCGCAAAGCTGGGAACCAGCCCAGAATGGCAGGCACACGGATTGAACACAGAGAACAGTTCTTAATAACCCGGATTCAGGTCTCTTGCTCACTTTCCCCATGCCTCAGTAATCACTCTTACATGTCATCTAGGTTATCTTTTCCTCTATTTATCCTATTTCTTAACAAAGTCGGTATGTGGATTCATCTCTGTATTTTACATTCTATTTATTCAAAGTCAATCAAGAGTGCAGGTTGCTAGCAAGCTTTTCTGTTAATAATTTTCTATTCTAATATTCAGGTTTTTTTGGGGGGGAACTGTAGCTAGACTAACAAGCATTAGTAGGGGTCTGGCGTTTTCTCTCCATTTGTGGCTGGTCAAGGCACGTTTTGAAACTGGACCACTTTATAAAAGCAAACAAAAAAATCTTACAAAAATATTCTATGTTACTAGTTAGCAGGAAAATGTAAATAAAAACTCACCCCAGTCAGAACGGCTAACATCAAGAAATCTGACAAATGGACAAGATGTGAGGGAGGAGGAACCCTTGATTCACTGCTGGTGGGAATGAAAATGCAATTGTGGACATCAGTTTAGAAGTAACTAAAAATTTATAAATCTAATCACCATATAGTCGTGTTTATATGAACAGAACTAAAACTTTAAAAAAGCAAGATTGTCGAATTCTTTGCCCATATTTGCATTTTCTGGTGTCTCCCACAGCCATGTTTTCTTTCCTGGAAACAGAGGTCCATCTAGAGATCAGGTTTGGGGTGGCACCCAATTCTTCGACATAAACACACTTCCGCTCCTGGATACCAACCTGACCTGGCAGAGTTTTCCGGGAAATGCTGTTACTGCTGGTGGTGGATCAGGCTTTGGGAATGTCTCTTCTGGCCTCCTCCTGCGCGTGCGCCAGCCTTGCCAACACTGTCTTTGGTTGCCGGGACTGAGTTGTGTGTTCTTCAGGTTGCGAGGTTGTCAGAGGAGCCCCCACCTCAGCGGATCCTGGGAGCTGAAACCTGGATGATTTGCAGACAGGGGCTTCCAATGCAGGTGCGAACTGGAGCCTGTGTGCTAGAGGGTTCCCCCGGATGCGGGGCAGGGACGGGGAGACGGGATTGTAAAATAGATCTGTTAGAAGGCAGTTGTGCCACGAGAAACCCTGAGAGCGGGCTAGGAAGTTCTATGCACTTTGAGAGCTAGGAGGTGTGTGTGTTTGCATTCCTACCCTTCCGACCCGTGCATACTTTACGATTCTCACCAGCTTTCCCGTCTGTGCCATCAGTGGTAATGTGTGGGGGCCTCAACTTTCCACAGTGAGAAATGCTCAGAACTCGGAGGCCAAGGAAAAATTTCTAGCCTCAAAGAGGCCCATCCCCGATCAGAAGCTTCACTTTTCAATCTAGAACTCACATAGGAAAGAAATTCCACGAATATAACCAATGTAGGAAGTCTTTCTACCGTAAATGAGACTTCAGTGTTCATCAGGGAACTCACACAAGAGAAAAACCCTATGAACCTCACGGGTGTAGAAAATCTTTCCATCAAAAAACCAAACTTTAGCAGGCATCAGAGAACTCATGTGGGAGAGAAACCTTACAAACGCAACAAATGTGGAAAGTTGTTCAAGCAGGAATCATGTCTCTTTTTACATCAGAGAACTCATACCAAAGAGAAACCTTACGAAGGTAATGAGTGTGGGGACTCTTTCTACCAGAAGTCAGCCCTCACTGTGTGTCAGAGAACCCACACAGAAGAGAGACCCTCTGAGTGTCATGAATGTTGAAAAACCTGTTGCCAGAAGTCACACCTCAGCAGGCATCAGAGAAGCCAACACGAACTATAAAACGTATGAATGGCAAGAATGTAGGAAGGCCGGGCGTTTCTTACTTCAGGCATCCTTACCAGTAATGCTTTTTCAGTTCGGGGTTCTGCCAACTGCAGGCATATACTAGAGATTAAAAAAAGCTCTTCCAGAGGGCCTGGGTTCAATTCCAAGCACTCGCGTAGAGGCTCGCAATCACCCATAATTCCAGTTCCAGGGGGGAATGCCATGTCCTTTCTGACCTCTGCAGACACCAGGCACGCAAGTGGTACATACATGCACGCAGGCAGAACACCCATGAGTGTGAAAACCTTAAAAAGTATCAAGGGTTGCCGGGCGGTGGTGGCGCACGCCTTTAATCCCAGCACTCGGGAGGCAGAGGCAGACGGATCTCTGTGAGTTCGAGGCCGGGCTGGACTGACAGCCTCCAAAACAATACAGAGAAACCCTGTCTCGTAAAAACCAAAAAAAAAAAAAAAAAAAAAAAAAAAGTACCAAGCGCTGTTGTTCGCTGCAGCTGCGGGATGAAACACCAGCCACAAAACTCAACAAAACCCACGTGGAGTTTATGGGGGAAGGGAACAAAGGGAGGGTAAGTGTTGGCCAGCTGGGAACAGGGATGGAAGGGGGGAACAGGTGGGAGGCGCTCGCTTAAAAGGGAAAGCTTGCCCATTCACACAGAGTCCTTCCTTACACAGCCACGCAGGGCCCTTTGAGCCGTCCAAGTATCTGCCTGAATGCTGGTGTGCTTACCCTGCCAGTTGTCAGGGGGCGGGGTCAGCATAACGCCAGGCTGTCAACACCAAGAAACAATCCTGTGGTGCATTCAGGGAAGAACGCCAGCAGACTGCCACATCAGCTTGTTGAACAGTTGGATTCTATACCTGGACAGCAGCTTAACAGTGGTTCCTTATAGTGGACCCAGGGGAGCGCAATCTCTTTTAAAATCATGGGTAGTGGGGACTGGAGAGATGGCTCAGAGGTTAAGAGCACTGACTTTTTTACTTTCGAATCTTTGTCTCTAGGTTTTGGTCTCTAAGTTCCATTCAATTCTCTACCCTTTCTACATTGCTCTCGCCCACAGACTAAGAATGTTTTGGGTGAAGAGCCAAATAAGTGGCCTTCTAATATTCAGGAAGTGAGATAATAATGTGATTTATCAAGAAACTGGAAACCACTTGTATTTCAAGGACAAAATTGCCGAGAGGGCTGGAAGGCTTAAAAGAATTAGTAGGATCACCCAGGAGTGCATAACTGTCGGAAGCTGCTGCTTCTCGAGGAGTCTGTTGATATCTGCATAACGCAAGTCATCAAGGAACCATACTACCCATGATTTTTTTTAAAAATTTACTTATTTATTATGAATACAACATCCTGCCTCCATGTATGTCTACACACCAGAAGAGGGCACCAGATCTCATTATGGATGGTTGTGAGCCACCATGTGGTTGCTGGGAATTGAACTCAAGACCTCTGGAAGAGCAGCCAGTGCTCTTAACCTCTGCGCCATCTCTCCAGCCCCTGCTTTTTCTTTTTATAAGATGTATTCACTTTAATTTTATGTGTATTAATGTTTTGCCTGCATGTTTGTATGTATTCATGCATACGTGGTGCCCAAGGAGGCCAGGACATCAGATCCCCTGGAACAGTAGTTAATGTTGGCTGTGAGTCACCATGTGAATGCTGAGAATAAATGGAGGTTCTCTGCAAAAGCTATCAGGGCTTTTAACTGCTGAACTACCTCTCCAGCTCACTTTTGCTTTTATTTTCCGCTTACGTGGTGCTAAATAGCAAAGACCTGCTTTAGAAGTATAATTCACTTATTTATAATTTAGGTGTTTTGAGAAATACTCTTAGGCTGCTAAACCATTACAGGGTAACTAATTACTAAAGTCTACTTTAAGATGGTACCTAATTACAAGCACTCTGCAAACTATCTGACAATACAGATTAAACTGAAATGCACACAGGTTGTGATACAACACCTCCATTCCTAGGTAGATATACTCAATGGTAGTATATGCAAACATTCACCAAAGATGAGAATGTCCTCCATAGCACTATTTTTAATAATCTAGAATTAGAAACTGGACTGCCCATCGGTGGTAAAATAAATTCTGCAAGATTTTTTTTAATGAAGATACTATATAGCAATTTAAGAATGAAACAACTACATACAGCAATATGGGTAAATTTTGAACAAGAGTATCCCAGGTCCTAATCTCTGGAACCTTGAGTATCACTTTATCTGGGAAACAAGACTTTAAATATGTAATTAATGACCTTGTGACTGGAAAATCATCTTGGAATATACAGAGGTAGAGGAAGACTTGACTATAAAAAACAGTGTGGTGGCAAAAACAGGCTTTTGACATGGAGGAAGAGTCTGTTAGTAAAGAAGGAAGTCAGCAGACGGTGGCAAGGCATCAAAGCAAACTCCTGTGGAAGCAACCAGTCCTGCTGATATCTTGATTTTGGGTTAATGAAATGGATTGGGATTTCAGGTCTGTAGGGTTGTGTTAAGTCACTAAGTACCTGTTGCAGATAAAAGTCTACAATCACAAAAAATGGAAAACAAAGAGATTATATATGGCTGCATTTGTTGCGGGATTCCTTAGCTGGTTCAGCCCCCAAATAACACACGAGACACTACATTGATTATAATGCTGTTGGCTGTTTGCTATGTTTTCTTATTGGTTAGCTCTGACTTAATTATTAACCCATAATTACTAATATGTATTTTTATAAGGACCTATCTTTCCGAGGATGCCATCCTGATGTGTCCTCTCCTCCCAGGATCACATGGCAACCCTCTACTATTGACTACATTTCCCAGAATCCTCCTTGATGCCTAGTCCCACCTATCTTGCTTCCCTATTGGCCAACAGTGCTTTATCAACCAATAGGACAACATATACACAGAAGGCTTTTCCTCCATCATACATTCACCTTAAAGTTTTTTCTAGGCAAAAACAATTCATAGCTCTGAAAGGAGAGGCCTACTGAGAGCCAGCCAGGGTGGTGCATGTCCTTAATCCCAGCAGTTGTGGGGCAGATGCAAATAGGTCTTTTGTAAATTCAAGTCCATTCTGGGCTATATAGTGAGGCCATGTCTAAAAAGAAAAGAGAGAGAAAGTTGTGGGTCTGGAGAAGTGGCTGCTCTTCCAGAGGGCCTGGATTTGATTCCCAGCATCCACATGGTGTCTTACAGCTTTCTGTAACTGTTCTTAGGATCCAGACACAAGTGTGATGCAGACATACCGGTAGGGAAAACACCTACACAAACACACTAAAAAGAGGCTACACAGAGAAACCCTGTCTTGAAAAACCAGAGATAAAGAGACAGACAGGAAGGACTTTGAAGGTATTCATAATGTCCTGAAGACTATGTTTAGTTTGCAAAACTTTAATATGTGCCCTCTCCTGCATATATGGTATACAAAGTTTTAGAAATAGGTCCCCTCAAACCGGGCATTGGTGACGCATGCCTTTAATCCCAGCACTCGAGAGGGAGCTAGTTCCAGGACAGCCTCCAAAACAATACAGAGAAACCCTGTCTCAAAAAAGCAAGCAAACAAACAAGCAAACAAACAAAAAAAATAGGTCCGCTTTTGACTATGTGGTGGTACACATAACTCTGAAACTTGGAAAGCTGAGGCAAGAGATTGCCATTCTGGGGACAATTAGGCCTGCAGAGCAAGATCTTGTCTTTTAAAAAAAAAGTACCTTCTAATATAACAATTTTACAATCTGCTGGAAAAAAATATGTATTATGATGGGAAAATATTTACTAAATAACTTTATTTCTCAAAAACTAGGGATTTTATTTCTCTAAGACTAAACCATTCTCATGACTAGAGAAACAAATAATTGTGACTTTTAAATGCTAAAACAAGGTGCTGCTTAATGAGCTTTGTTGTGCCTGTATCTGGACATTACAAAAAGAAGGTAAACTATGTTTTCTGAAATAGCAGTAATGAGAAAGGGGTACTACATACTAAACGGCCAACCAATGTCTTCTGTACTTACTATTCTCAAAAGTAGTGAAAATGATAACAATGTATATCCCATAATCATTAAGTACAAAAACAATTTATAAAACACATCAGAATTTTATTGCTTGGAGAATACAGCATATGAAATCACAAGAACATCAAAATGAAAAGTCACTAGGCTTCAAACATAGAATACATTACCAGATGCAGTAAAATATTAATTAACCTGAAGTCTGCATCAGAAAGAAAAAGGTATGGAAAAATATCTAAATTGTTTACTTGAGAAACATACACTTAAAACAATGTAAAAGAATGTTACAGTACAAATTAGAAAAGCCAACAGTGACTAACTTATTTTTGTAGACTAAACTACCTACCTACCTTTGGTACTTAACCTTTAAAAAAAGAAAAATTCCTTCTATTTTTCCAAACACTTCATGGGCATATCCATGAAATAACTTGAAATAATCAATGTAAAGCATTCAGAAAAATTACTATCCTTTTTACTACCTTTTCTGTTATACTGGGGAAGAATATCTATCTGATTAATGCATAACAATATTTCCCTTTTTCTAAAACTGCAAAATATGAATATTAAGAAATCTAATACTTATAAACTTTACTTAGCTCTCCAAATAAAATTAAAATCCTGGCATCTAGAATCTCTTCTGGGGCTTGGTGAATACAGAAGTTTAAATGACTTGGCAACTGACATAGAAACACAGTGACTTCCTGTTACCTTAGGTGGCATTTACACCATTTCTACAGATCCACTGGGTCCCTCTCACAAAACACTACCACACTTTAGTCACTGAAGCCAAAGGAAAGCTGCTCACTTTTAACAAAGCAAGTTAACACTTCATATAGGGCTGGTCAGTTATGACACTTTTTAATCAAACACAAAAATTTTAAAGCTATCACTCAATTATGATGATGGGGACAATGATGTCATATCAAAAGTTAGCACTGGGCTCTTTAGGCTACCTAGTCAAGAAAATGTAAATGCTATGCTAAAACCAAACAATAAGTAAACTACATGTTAAATAATATTTTTAAAGCCCTCTTTCATAGCAAACACACTCATTAGCTTTCATTTATTTCCCCTAGCAAAGGTCTGAATATCCATGAGCCTCAGTTAAACCAACGGAACCCAAGCAACTGTTTCACAAGTCCTACCTATATACTCAATGACATAAACATGAATGAACGAAGCAAGTAATACTATGAACAATTACTGAACTGGAGTGAAATAGTAAGAATCATGACAATCTTCAAGATTAGCCAGTCTCTGAAATGGCATAGTATAGTTCAGGATAAATTATACTATAATAAAACTAGTTTTTACTGCTACATAAAACAGTAACAAAATCAAAAACATAACTCATCAAATTTATACAACTACTAGTGAACATATTTCCTTCCTAGTTTTTGAATGTCTTGAGTTTTTCTCTTAGCAAGTATATTTCTTTGAGCATATATAACTGTTGCCTGTATATACACTCAGTTTAAAAGACAAAAACATTTAGGTACTACATGGAACTGAACTTTTTCGCCAACCTGACTCAATGTATTCTGCCTCACACCATGCCTCATCTCAATATAAAATTCTCAGTTTTAGTTCAGCTAAAGGGACAGAGAAGACGCAAATACAGATGAAGAGATCTGTGTAAATGTCACTGTATTTTTATAAACCTGACGCTTTCTGTAATACTGTTTATTGACCAAATAAAGGGTTCACACTGCTCTTAGATTCCAAAAACACCATTACATATTCAAAGCTGATCTTATACTGAACTTTAAATTTTCAACAGTTCAAAGAGACAGTTGTACAAGTATAGCAGAATACCAATGGTAAGTCCACCAAGATGCACACACAATTACAGATAGCATTTCTTTCACTGTTTTCTTATAGAGGAAACAAAAGTTGAGATGGTGAATTTCAGATATCATCATCATCTTCTTCATCTTGAGAAGACCCTGCCTGGTTGGAGGCACTGGCTGAGGCTGCAGCAAGCTGGGCTTGTTGGGCGGCCTGCTGCATTTGAAGCCACTCCTGTTGGGCCAATTCTGCTTGCTGCTGTCTAGCCTAAGAATTAAAAACACAAAAAAGCAATGTACACATCATGGTTAAGTGTAACTAACAGACTTACTATCAAATGTGGAATTTTCCAAGTACTATTTAACTATGACATAACTAGAAATCAAGAATTCTTAATACTTTTAGTTCAGTTGAGGAAACTGAAAAGGTTACAGAGGGACTGGAGAGATGGCTCAGCAGTTAAAAGCACTGGCTGCTCTTCAGAGGATCTGGGTTTAATTCTTAGCACCCACACGGCAGCGCACAACTGTCTGCCAACTCCATTTCCAAGGGATCCAGCATCCTGTTCTGGCCTCTGCAAGCAATGTACACATGTGCTATATAGACTTGCATGCAGGCAAAACACCCATGCACATAAAATAAAATAAATACGCATTTTTAAAAAAAGGTTGATAGGGCCAGGCACTAGAACACACCTTTAGTCCCAGCACTTGGGAGGCAGAGTCAGGCAGATCTGAGTTCAAGGCCAGCCTGATCTACAGAGGGAGTTTCAGGACAGCCAAGGCTACCAAAAAAAAAAAAACTGATGGGGGGGGGAATCACATTAGTCACTCTTTGGCTCTTTTTGCTGTGTTTTTCTTTTCTGTCCATTCAATTATAATTTTCATATGAACATAATTTGTGGTGTAAAAGGTCTCCAGTACAGTTAGGAAAAAATACCATAGTAAATACAACAGCTACCCTGATATTTTCTTCTGAGTTCCTATTATAATTCTCTACCCTCATGGTGCAAAAGAACCCTAGAGCATAAAATGTTTCTCAATGTATGCTATACTTTCACATTTTCATTGTCTTTCTTTATATTTAGTCTACTTGGGAGTTTCCTAATTTTCACTTACTGATGAAACTGTACTAATACTTAAAGTGAAAGTGAAATACCATTTTCTCCTTCCCGCATGAGTCAAGGTGTTTTCAGGAAAGAGAATTAACATTAGTTCTGGGAACTAATTTAAAGAAGAAAAAAGACTGTTACACAAAACCGGTAACAAGCAACTGAAAAAGCAAAAGAACACTAAGACACTAGATGTCAACTACAAGCAGCAGTCATCAGTCTAACCTGGGAACAAAAGAAGAGTGAACGTTTAAAACTTGTTTGAGGAACAATCAAGTGGCACCCAACTCAGACCTCTGAAGAGCAGGTGTATTTGCTACAGTATGAAAGCAGGGAGAACCCACCTGTGGGGACCTACACCCAAGAAAGGTACAGGTTCAGGCTGGTTCTGTAACAGAGAAAATGCACATTGGATTCAGTTCCTGCTACAGGACAAACTGGTACAGCCAGCACAGAGTGTTTCTGGACAATGGGTGTGATGGCACACACGTATAATCCCAGCACTGGAAGACAGGCAGCCTAGGCTACAAGGGAAATCCTGTCTCAGAAGACATAATAAATACCTAACTGTTCCTGGATTGGTCAAAGGACCTGGAAGAGGAAAGAAAAGAGCAAGGCCTGTTTACTTACTCTAGCCCATACTGGTAAGAGAATCCAATGAGGATTTCAGACAGCAAAGTACACAGCACAGTACAATGTAGTTTCATTGGTTTTTTATGATTTCTGTTACCTGGTACTAATCAAATATTAAGTGGAAAATTCCAGAAATAAACAAGCAAGCCCCTTTATCTGCTAAATCATCTTGCCAACCCATGTTATATAATCTTTATAGTTTTTTGAGAGTTAAATGAGGTAATATATACAAATTGCTTGGTAATATCATTAACAAATGGTTCAAACTCAATAAATATTGTAAAACTTTTTCTTATTAGTTTGATTTTATTTATGTGTGTGTGTGTCTGTAGGGAACATGTACATATGAGTACTGGTACCCTCAAAGGGGAGCCTCCCAATGTGAGTGCTGGGACCTGAACTCAGGTCCTCTGGAAGAGCAGTATGCATTCTTACCAAACCGCACTTGTATCTTGTGCTTAATAATGTTAAGGCTCAAATGCAATGACATTTGGTACTGCAATTCCTATTAAATTCAAAACCAGCTTCACAGATCAGATCTATACCTTGCTACACAGAAAATGTCAATCAGATTTTCCTTGTATTCCACCCATAATAAAATCTAGTAGCAGCTGGGTGGTGGCAGCGCATGTCTTTAATCTCAGCACTCGGGAGGAAGAGGCAGGTGAGGCCAACCTGATCTACAGATAGAGTTCCAGGACAGCCAGGACTACACAAACTGTTAAAAACAACAACAAAAGAAAACAGAAAGAAAGAAAGAAAGAAAGAAAGAAAGAAAGAAAGAAAGAAAGAAAGAAAGAAAGAGAGAAAGAGAGAAAGAGAGAAAGAGAGAAAGAGAGAAAGAGAGAAAGAGAGAAAGAGAGAAAGAGAGAAAGAGAGAAAGAGAGGAAGAGAGGAAGAGAGAAAGAGAGGAAGAAAGAGAGGAAGAAAGAGAGGAAGGAAGGAAGGAAGGAAGGAAGGAAGGAAGGAAGGAAGGAAGGAAGGAAGAAAGAGAGAGAGAGAAAGAAAGAAAACTGGAAAATTGGTTGTTGCAATCACTTACATGAACCAGAGTCAAACTGGTCAAGTTCTAAACATTAGACTGTAATAAGCAATGAGCTGGAGAAAGAATCCTCTAGATATGCTGATTTATGAAGTGATTTTCAAAATACCCTTGATTTTGGTCAATTTCCAATGAAAAGAATTTAAAACATATTACTTACTTTTGCAAATAATTCCTGTTGCTGTCTCAACAATTCTTCTTCAGGAATGCCAAGGTTTTCCAAACGAGAACTGGCCTTTCTTCTTTTTAGTGCTACTGTCTTGCATTCTTGTAAGACTTCTTTTACTTCACTGATGTAAGAGCCAAAGCCCAAACTTTCTAGTGCTACAGAAATGAAAGTGTGAAAGGTGAAAACTATGGCTCTCCCTCACTTGTGTAACATTTGCTTTTTTGTGTTAGTTTCCTCTTGGGAGGCAGTTATTTAGCAACTACTAGGTGGCTAAGACAAAATGCTTTTATCAACCATTATTCTTTAAGTTTTACTTTTATTTTTAGGTGTGTGTGCGTGCGTGTGTGTGAGTGTGGTGCCCATAGAGGCTACATGAGGGCATAGCATGCCCCAGGAGCACCTGATGGGTGTGCAGGAACAAAATCCTTCTGCAGGAACAGCACCATGCTCTTAACCTCTGAGCTATGTTTCCAACCCTGTACTCATCTACTTCCTTAATATTTGACTACAGACTGGTAAAAGCTAATGGAACATTTCAAGGCATGGGCCTTTATTTTTTTCCCTCTTTAATTTTTAAAATTGCTTACAAGAGTAACACGCTTTGAATAAGAAAAGTATCTTTCCTGTGCCACTCACAGTAAGTCAAGCATCATTAAGTCTGTCAGTTTCTTAAAGAATACCAAAAAAAGGCAAATATTTGGAATCTACTGGTTAATGGCATAATTTGTCCCATACAAACAAGTAGGCGAGGAACAAGGTACAGAAAGATAGGCTGAAAGAACAGTTAGGTTTTTCTTTCCTCCAGTGTACCAACAGAGTGTGGTCCCTGTGCTGAGGAGGCTGAAGTAGGCATCTGAGCAATTGAGATTCAAGAAGAAGTGTACAGATCTCTTTTCAGTACACAAACCAGCCTTCCCAGCAGGGTTGGCCTCCCTGCAAGAACATGCTTCTAGAAGACCAGAGGAGACAAAACACAACCAAACCACCTGGTGCAGAGAGCCCCAACTCTTAAGTCACAGATATGAAACGCCCAGAGTGTTACAAAGTCCATCTTTAGCCATGTGTAAATCCTAGTCTCTCGTGTGTGCTGGCTGCTCCACTGTCCTCTCTGTTAGCCAGAGGCAGAGAAGAAGGCTGACAGAAGGGTGCTGCCTCAGGAAGCAGTAGCACTGAAAGCACCTCGAAGAGTATGTAAGGAATCAGTCCACAAATACATTTTGGATTAAAAACAACATACGAATCAGCAATCTCTAGTTCCTTGTTTGTGGGAAGGAAGAATGTCACATTTTTCACTTAAAATACAGCAAGACAATGTAGGTCAAAGTAGATTCTTGCCTCACTGGCCTGACATGAAGACCCCTGACAACCATGACATTCACAGTATAGTACTCCAGAAAACTGGGAAACACTTCAGGACTGAGAACTATCTATTTCTATAATCTAACCAGTTTCTACCACAATGCTAAATGCTTAGCAATATTCAGCAAGCAAGTGTGGGGCAGTGGAGGGAAAATGAAAGCCTGGGGTTGTGGGTGCAGGGAACTTGCCTAACATGCATGAGGCTCTGGGTTCAGTTTTTAGTAGCATTAAAAAAAATAATAAACTAGGCATGGTGGCATACGTCTTTAATTCCAGCCCTCAGGAAGCAGAGCCCAAGACAGACAGAGGCAGGGAGATCTCTGAGTTCCATGCCAGCCAGCAATATAGAGTGGGACTCTGTCTCCAAAGAGACAGAGAGAGAGAGAGAGGAAAGGGGAGTGGGGTTAAAATAGTAAAATCCAGAAAATAAAAAGAATCCTACTGTAAAAAGCAACCAATATGTAATAGTTTACAACGCAAATTTCAAATATTGGTATTACTTAGGCAACACAGAATGAACCATTCTTATTTCCTGTTACTTCTCTGCGATCACTCAGTTTCTCTGATTTCAAAGGTACTTCACATCTACTTTCCAAATACATTGTAGTTTAGACGTTAGAACAAAACTACTCAAAGTATGGTTCAAGTACTTGTGCCAGAGGATGTTACAATGGCTGTTGTTTGTAACAGTTAAGAGTGCAAATTCTGGACATTGGAGAGATAGCTCAGGTTAAGAGCACTGACTGTCCTTCCAAAGGACCTGGGTTCAATTCCCAGGTGGTTCACAACCATCTGTAACAACTCCAGTTCTAGAGGATCCAATACCCTCCTCTGTGGGCACTGCACAGTCATATAGGCAAGAAAAGCATATTTTAAAAAGCTCTAGGGAGGCAGAGGCATGCTGATCTTTGAGTTCAAGGTCAGCCCAGACTATACGGAGAAATCCTGTCCCCCCCAAAAACTAAAACCAAACCAAACCAAAAAAAAAAAAAAAAAAACAACCAAAAAAAAAAAACCCTTAAGGTGATTACATAATAGGAAATTACAAATGCATAAATTTTATACTAATTGGAGCAAAACTATAGATATTCTTACATACTTTTGTTTTTTTGAGACAGGGTTTCTTTGTGTAGTCCTGGCTGGTCTGGAACTCACTCTGTAGACCAGGTTGGCTTCACAGAGGTCTACCTGCTTCAAGGCATAAGCCGCCACCACCTGGTCCCATTGGGGTTTTGCCTGCATGTGTGTCTGTGTGTGGGGTCCCCTAGAACTGGAGTTATAAACACTTATGAGCCACCACGTGGGTGCTGGGAATTGAGTCCTAGTCCTCTGGAAGAGCAGTCAGTGCTCTTAACTGCTGAGCACTCTCTCCACTCCTTATACACTTAATGGCAACATTACAAGAAAAAGGTAAATTTGTAAGTGCCAACAGGTCAATTCACAGGTTTTTTTTAACATCAGTAGATTGCCACCATCACAGAAAATAGCCATTCACTGAGTCTTGTATTAAACTGAAGCTAGCATATTCCAAAGCTGAACTATTTAGTGTATTCCTTGCTACAGTTACACTTCTTTTCAATCATGATGTCAATCAGAACTCTAAATATGTCCTAGAAAAAAAACGAACCTTCCCCCAAGGAGACAGATTGTGTTATTAGAATTTGGAACAATCACCACTTCCAGTACAAACAAATGTTACGGCAGATCCTACTAAAATCTTTTGCAGTTTTCACTAAAAAGTGGATGTTTGACAAAGGCAGGTTTCTTTTCCTTTAAGAATTTTGGCTATTAGCTGGGTGTTGGGGGTGCACACCTTTAATCCCAGCGCTCGGGAGGCAGAGGCAGGTGGATCTCTGTGAGTTCGAGGCCAGCCTGGTCTACAGAGCGAGTTCCAGGAGAGCCTCCAAAACAATACAGAGAAACCCTGTCTCAAAAAACAAAAAACAGCAAAAAAAGAATTTTAGCTATTTGTTAGATAATGTTCTCAAAGACTTATGACAACAATCATATATACAACATAAAAATAAAAACAGACAACTGGCTTTCACTTTCCTTACCACTCAGCAAACCAAACCAGTGGGGGGGGGGGCAGTTTCAAGAATCAAAAAGGTGGGTTGGGGACATAGCTCTGTAGTCCAGTGCTTGCCTAGCACATACAAGGCCCTAAGTTTTACACACACACACACACACACACACACACACACACACACACACACACACACACACACACACACACACACACACACACACACACACACTCAAATATGCAGCAGAGAATGGTGATTACAGCATGCCCATAGTGCCAGTGTTCAAGAGACTGAGGGAAGACGGTCTTGCACATAGATCTAGGCTACACAATAGGATCCTGTTAGCATCTTGCTTCTCCTAACCCAGAAAAAAAATCAAAACAAAATGTTGCTTTTTTAGGGGTTACCTACTATGTACTGAAATGGCACAGTACATGTGTATGTAATACAATTATTTACTTACACACACACACACACACACACACACACACACACACACACACACATCTCATGGCTCTACTCCCTACTGGGATTGACTTCTGGCATGATAAGTACTCAGCCTTAAGAGACATCCTAAAAACAGCAGGGTATACTTTAAATCTACCTTCATCACAGGATAAAGGTTCAAAATTAATCACTTGATTTTTTTTTTTTTTTGGTTTTACGAGACAGGGTTTCTCTGTATTGTTTTGGAGGCTGTCAGTCCAGCCTAGCCTTGAACTCACAAAGATCCGCCTGTCTCTGCCTCCTGAGTGCTGGGATTAAAGGCATTCACCACCACCGTCCGGCCATCACTTGATATTTTTGTCAATCCAGACAGTGAAAAAATGGATATGGTCAATCTGAACAAATGTGTTCTCCACTTGACCTTAACAGGAAATTGAAAGTAAAAAATTTTAAAGTTAAATTATAAAAAGGCAATGATAAACTACCTGCACTGTTTGTTAAATTTGTTTTCTTAACTTCAAAAGTAATCATGAAATTGTTGTAATTTCGTTAGATTATTACAAAATAGAAGTTACTGTCTCAACGGAATTGACTTTCTCTTAAGAGTGCATGAAAAGCCACAGAGGGCACTTCCTAAAAGTACTTTTTCCCTTCCCTGCAACCATCAAAATGCAGTCTCTCAAATCCCTACTGCAAACTTTTTCCAATATAAGGAAGAAACTGCTGAAACTTTGAGAAGTGCTGGCTAGCCTATGTCAGACCGTGGATTCAAGGCCCAGTGCAGGTGGGGCGGGGCGGGAAAGGGAGAGCTGTCACCTTTTGCAAAACTTTCAATGCAAGCTTTCAAACATTGTCAAAGAACGAAACAGTCAAAAGTCTGAGGGAGTCAAAAAGAGAAAACGTGGCACTTGACTTTCTATTACTACAGGAGTTCTTTGGTAACTTGGTGATGATTGTTTTACCATTTCTTTCTTAAAAGCAAAATTAGACTCCCTTTTTTTTTTTTGAAAGCAACAAACTTTACAACATCGAACACTTACTCACATTAATGCCTTTATTTTTATTTTTTAAATTCAGTGCTGGTAATCAAACCCAGGACCTGCGCCTGACATTTAAATGATACAGCACTGACCTACAATCCACAGCCCAAGACTATTTCTTCTATTCCTGTGTTCAAAATGAAACCTTTCTCTCCACGCTGGTTTAAAAAAAAAAAAAAAAGGGTCAGGCGAGGAAGAGCGCTTGCTCCCTGACTCAGCTCATGCCTGAAGGTCTGTCTAAAATTTAACTTGCCGAGAGAGGACTTTTTGGTTCCCTTCTCGGTTGTCACTGTCCCGAGTTTAGCTGCAGGCAGTCAATCCTTGTTGCTTTTAAGACCTGACCGCAAACCGTACAAGTTAGGGGCTGAGGATGTGTGTGTGCTGACGCTAACGTTTGCATTCCTCGCTCGCGGTAGCTGGGTGCAGTGTCCCAAGAATGCCACACAGGTATTTCCTTAAGGTAAACGAGCTGTCGCTGTGCCTCTGTGACTTCTCCATGAGCAGTGCTCACTCGTGAAAGGGGACGAGGGCTCTGTGACAACCCCCGGGACCCTCCCCCTGCCCCCTCCAACGCAGACGGCTTACCCTGTATGACGTGCTCCGGCGAAATCGTCTTCTTTTCCGACTTGTTGCAGATCTCATTGGCTTCCGAAGATATGAGGTGAATGAACTCCGTGCAGCAGTTCACCACCAGCTCTCGGGCGTCGTTGGCCACCCGGACGTTGGGGAGAGTCTCTTTGATCATCTTATTTATAGCAGCGCGGGGGATAGTGAGATCATCGTCGTTGCCAGACGAGGAAGCCATCGCACCCCTTCCTTGTCGGGTCGAGCCCCAACTTTTTTATTATTTTTTTTTAAAGTCCTCGAGACTCTGGGCACCCCCCACTCGCTCCAAAAAGGGGCTGCCCCTCTCGGAGAGGGAGACGTCGGGGCCGGGGAGACCCCACTGCGTGCGTCCCTTACTCAGTGCGAGCCCGCGGGGACGGGCGGACCGGTCAGGGTGCCGAGGGCTCTGGGGACAGCCGCTCCCCGGGGCTGGAGGAGCCACCCTCAGGTGTCGCCTCCAACGGACTGACGCGGTCGTCTAACCGGACCTGGACGGCACGGGAGCGCACGCACGACGCACGAGTACCCGCCCGTCCGCCCGCCCGGGCGCACCGATACCCAGCAGCAGGCCCGGCTTTACAGCGCCGGGGCAGCCCCCGCGGCCGCCGCCACCAGTAGCGGTTGCCGCCGCCTCGGCCCAACCATCCTCCGGGCACCCGCAGCCGCCGCCGCCGCCGCCGCCTCACAACATGTCTGCCGAGGCCGCTGCCGAAAGAGCGCCGGCTGCCCTGGTGGGGAACGAGAGCCGACGGGGCCGAAAGCCGCCGAGGTCGCGGCGACAGCGGGCTGTGGGAGCCGCAGCAGCGCTAACGGTGGGCTGGCTCGCTCGCTCGCTCGCTCGCTCCAGGCCGGCCGAGGAGGCTTGCCGCAAGCCGATCCCGGCACGCTTTGCGCCGCCGCCGGAAGTCGCGCGCCCCAGGTCCCACCCTCCGTCCTGACGGGCTTCCGTGTGTGCTCTCCTTCCTTTCCCCCCTCTCCCCACCCAACCGAGGCGGGAGGGAACCGCCGGTCCTCGCGGCCCGCAGCTTCCGCCCGTCGCTGCGCTCGCCCCGCGCGCCGTCCGATCCGGCGTTTCCTCCGTCTGGCCCTAGGGGAGCTCGCCTCTGCTCGGCCCAGGGCCACGTGGCAGAGGAGCCCCTCTCACTACTGAGAACTTCCTCCTTTTCCTGCTTCCTCAGCTGTCGGGATCGGGGGGCTCTGAGTGACGCCTAACGCGGACTCTGGATGGATGGGACCTGGGGAAGCGGATCGTCCCATGTGTGCTTGGAGGAAAGGCTTTTGTAACTAGCTAACGGCGCTCAGGTCAGAGCTCCCTGTCCTCGTTTATGACAGAAATGAAACCTTCAAGGAAGTGGCTCGGGCTAAGCTGGGAACCAGTAGTCAGATCCGATGGACTGAAAAGTGTTTGGCCGACTTTTGGATGGAAAAGACAAACAAAATTGGGTTGTCTCAAGCAACTTCGATATTTCTTTCCTTCTAGGGTGGTTAATAATAACTAGTGCCGGATTCATCACAGAAATTGCATTACTAAATATATACATATATGTATATATATGTATTATAATAAATATAATGAAACCCACAGCCGGGCATGGTGACACATGTCTTTATTGTTTTGTTTTTTGTTTTTTCGAGACAGGGTTTATCTGTATTGTTTTGGAGGTTGTCCTGAAACTCGCTCCCTCCCGAGTGCTGGGATTAAAGTCGTGCGCCACCAACGCCCGGCGGACACAAGCCTTTAATACCAGCACTCCGAACACAGCTCTGTGAGTTCAAGGCCGGCCTGGTCTATAAAATTTCCAGGACAGCCAGGTACGCAGAGAAACCTTGTCTCGAAAAACTATAAAACGAGAAAGAAAAACTGTTATATTAATGAAAAGTGGAACGTTGTAACTTTTAAAAGGGCTAAGCCCCTTTAAGGTCCATCTTATTCTTTGTTGATAGATTGGCAGGTGGGAGGTTTTCAGTATTTTCATAAGGTATGTGGTTTCCAGGAGACTATGACTGTCAGCCACCTTCTTCTGCCCACACAGTTAGATATAGTTCCACCACTGAGCTTGAACACCAACCAGCCGTAATTTTTTCATTCAACATTGTCTCCAAAATGCTTGCGAGGAAGCATAGATTCTTGATTATCGGTGCTATTCAGCTTAATCTTTGATATAAAGTGTAAACTTTTTTCTTCAAAATAAGTGAAACTTGGTTCAGATGTAGCATCTTTATAAAGTGTTGTTAGTTTACTATTTGTTTAAAAGATTTATTATATTGCCTAAATTTATTTGGGCCTTAGTTTATCAGTCTAAAAAAGCTACCTAGCAAAAATTATCATCAGAGTTGTCACATCCAAATCTTGTTTCTGAAAAGTATTTTTTTCTTCTTTTTCAGATAACACTTATGCTTTTTAGAGTTGTATGGTGTAGATCAACAGAACACTGCTATATTGTTATTCCAGTAGTGGTTCATTACCACAGATTCTGTGGTAGTATAAGTAATGTGAAATGTGTAGAAAAAGACCTTATTAGGATGAAAGGGTACATGACACCACTACCATAAGAAAAATTATGTTTAAAAAGATTAGTTTGGATTGACATGTGAGATGGAATGGAATGGAATAGGAAGAGACAAACCTAGTTATTAAGCTATCCCAAAAATAAGTTAGTGATACAGACAAAAGAGTGTGCAGTAATAAAAGGCTGGGAGGAAGAAATCAGGCATTTGAGATCAGAGTTGACAAGGTTAATCTTTGTATTGAATTTGCAGCGAGATCAGAGAATCGTGCATAAATAATTGAGAAAAATGATAGCTTTAAGGAGAGGGAGCTTTGGATGAAGAAATATAAATAACAATCTAAAGTAAGAGTGGAAATATGGGAGCCATCTCTAGAGATGAGTATCACAAAACCACTGTCGTTTATACCTTCAGCTCCAGGTTGGTTGGTTGGTTTGTTTTGAGACAGGGTTTCTGTGTAGCCTTGGCTATCATGAAACTCACTCTGTGACCAGGCTGGCCTCAAACTTGGAGATCTGCCTGCCTCTGCCTCACGAATACTGGGATTAAAGGAGTACACCACTGCCTGGCTCAATCCCAGGTCTGAAATACAGTTTTTTGTTTTGTTTTGTTTTGTTTTTTGGTTTTTCGAGACAGGGTTTCTCTGTATTGTTTTGAAAGGAGCCTGTCCTGGAACTCGCTCTGTAGACCAGGCTGGCCTTGAACTCACAGAGATCTGCCTGCCTCTGCCTCACAAGTGCTGGGATTAAAGGAGTGTGCCACCAACGCCCGACAAATACAGTATTTTAAACTTTGAATGTGCACAAAGACTTTTAAGGATGGAAAAGAAATACAAAGACATAAAGGCAAATATGTCAGTAAAGACTTTTCACAATTAAAGGTCTATTGTAAATGAAGTCATAGGGAGAGATGTCAGAGAAATAACTGTTGGCAGAACAAACTAGTAGGAGTCAGAAATGGTGGCTCATCACTGTAATGGAGGTAGAAACAGAAGGATTGGAATAGATACAGACTTTTCTCCGGTCTAGACTGGATTTTCTCTGCCCTCTGGGATCCCTGCAGCAGTTTATAACATAACCATTCGGAAACTTAGTATCTATTTATAATTGTTTGTCCAATGTCTCAGGTTTCTTACTGGCAAAACAGAACCATTCAGAAATTTAGTATCTATTTATAATGGTTTGTCCAATGTCTCAGGTTTCATACTGGCTAGCTCTAGGATTTGTTGTTTTGGAAAAGAGGTTCTGCTTTTGTTTCCACAGAGGATGGGAACCTGTGGATTCCTTCCAGGCTAATGTGGTTTGATGGCCCAAGACCTCCCAAAGGTCTCTGAACCCTAAATACTTTGCCCAACAAACAGCAGGAAGCAGTTTGGAGAAAACTACACCCAAATTCCCAAATATTGTTTATAAATGTTTGTTTTCATTTAAACAGGGTTGATTACAAATGATTGATGATCTCAGTCAATCTAGGGATAAATATGATACAGAATGAATACTTTACATTGATATATGGGTTTTGATTTATTGATACCAATTTAAGGTCAGTTTTTATATGTATATTTCTACTTTTGTTTAGATAGCTCATTTAAAAATGTATAATTAAGAAATACAGATTAATAGTCATCTATAATGTTCAAAACTTATAGTTATGTTAGTTAAGTTTATTAGATATACAGAGACATATTTCAGATGGATAGGTAGTCCTCAAAACCTTTCAAAGACCTACAGAACATGGCATTTAACATGGTCTGTTAATTTTGGGCTTTTCATGACAATGAGACACATCTGCCCCTGGCAACACCAATTGCATCAGAGAAGATGATGGGCATCGAAGAAACTCATTATGGAGTTTGCCTTCAATGTGGCATGGATAGCCATTTGGGCAAGAAACTGCTCTTGCCTGGACTGCTTGACTGAATGCTGTATAAACTGGACATACAGGACCCATAGAAAAGTAACTGCTATACTTGCCAAGGTAAGATTGGATGGTCCTTCAGGGTTTCTGCTTCACAGAAGAGTTGGCCAAACATTCTACAGGTCACAGAAGAAAACAACAGACAAACTTTGCCAGTACAAGGCAGAACAGATCTTCAAATTCCCTGCTTCTCTGAGAAGCCTGCCAGAAGATGCTGTGGGCCTAGGGGCTGAAGATGGATGCCCCACGTCACAGAGGAGCTTTGGGTGACCAGGCAGCGAGATGCCTCCTCAATTCTAGAGTTTTAAAAATTGCTTACAACACACTTCCTGTTTGCTTAGGAAATAGTGTATCTTTCTGGGGTCTTGGATGGAGTTGAAGGCAGAGAGTTATAGTTTTCCTTAGATAAATTAGATATAAAACTTTAAACTCACAAAGATAAGATAGGTGATAATTTTCTTTAAATTAAATGGACTAAAGATTGTAACTATAATTCTTGCTTGGTAACTTTTGTTATATGTAATTGTACTATGTTAAAGTTAAAACCTCCCTTTTTTTTAGACAGAAAAGGGGAAATGATAGGGGACGTCATTCTGTATGCTGTGACTATGTACTTCTCTTATTGGTTGATGAATAAAGCTGTTTCAGCTAATAGACAGGCAGAATTTAGCTAGGCCGGCAATCCAAACAAAGATACAGAGAGAAAGCAGGCAGGGTCAAGGAGAGACACCATATAGCCACTAGGGAGGCAAGATACAGGGCATCACTGGTAAGCCAAGGCCACGAGGTGATATACAGATGAATAGAATTTATAAGAGAGAGCTACCCAATAAGAAGCCTAAGTCATTGGCCAAACAATTATAACTGATTTTAAGTCTCAGAATGGTTATTTCCTTAAGCAGCTGAGGGGATCTGGTGGGCAGAGAGAAAACCAGTCCAGTAGGACCCACACCAGATGGAGAAAAGTCTCCTTCTACACTAGTCTGCCTGAAGGCTTAGTCTCGAACAAACAAAAACCCAAACTTTTGCCAGCTGGGGCTGATGG